TTGCGAAGGTACAGCTTGTGCATTCGGAGTCGCCGAAGGACTTCGCGGACGATCTCGCGGTGCTTACGGAGGTCCGAATGCGCGATAAGGATATCGTCGAGGTAGATCATGACGTCTCCTGAGAGAATGAGATCCTGGAAAATGTCATTCATCATCGTTTGGAAAGTTGCGGGGGAGTTCGTCAGGCCAAAATACATCACCAAAGGTTCGAACAACCCTCGGTTGGTCCGAAAGGCCGCCTTCCACTCGTCTCCTTCTTTAATCCGGACGTTATTAAAGCCCCAGCGAACGTCGAGTTTGGTGAAGTAACGGGCGCCCTTAAGCCTGTTGATAAGGTCATTAATCAACGGGAGGGGGTACCGGTTCTTAATCGTCATTGCGTTGAGGGCGCGGTAGTCCTGGACAAACCGAAGTCCTCCGTCCTTTTTCTTAACGAAGAAGACGGGGGAAGCCATCGGAGATTTCGAAGGGCGGATACGGCCTGTGGCAAGTCCCTCCTCGATGAACTCGTCAAGTTCGCCTGTTCAAGGGGGAGATCGGATACACCTTGCAATTAGCGGGCTTCGCGTCGGGGACGAGTTCGATAGCGTGGTCCCAAGCCCTCCGCTCTGGTAACGTGTCGAAGGACTCCTTGTCAAAGACGTCTTGGAACTCCTTGGCCCAGTCCGGAATCTCCAAGGCGGGGGGGCCGAAGTTACGGGCGAAGGCCTCTGCAAGGCGTTGGGACACGGTGCTCCCAGCGCAATCTCCTCGATTGGGCGAAAGGAGGTGTAGAAGATGCGGTCGCCGTCTTCAAGATGCTCGTCGTCGTCAAGGTCTGGTGAGCGCTCCAGAGGGTCCGAAGGAGCTCCGAAGTTCGTCGTCGGCATCGTCTGGGCCAGCGATATCAATAGCGCAAACGGTGGGGAAGGCGCCCGCAAGTAAGCGCGATTTAAGGAGTCGGAGGCGGCGAACCTCAGCGCGCTCGGTCCGTTCCTCGTCGCGGCAGGTGGAGCAGCTCGGGGCAGCGGCTCATTTTCACCTCCTTTGTTTCCCAGTTGATCTCGGGGTTATGCTTTTGAGCCAGGAGTACCCGAGTATCAAGTCCTGTTTCCCAAGGTGGGTTACAGCCAGCTGAACGCGTTCGGAGTGTCCGTTGTATCGTAGGACCAGGTCCGCGATTTGACGAATAGACCCAGCATCATTGGGGGTGCCGTCGACATTGTAGACCGGTATGGGTACTGAGAGATTTTGGACTGGCACGTTGTTTCGGTTGACGTATTCTGTGTCGATAAAGTCCAGGTGGCTCCGCAGTCGACCAGACCCGAGAGGGAGAGCTTGAGCGCGTTCGCAGTGGACTCAAGTTCAAGGGGGAGGTGCAGCGAGTTAACGCCAGGAGCGGCAGAGATGGTATAACTGCCAGGTAGCTTTTTCTCCCAGGCAAGTCGGCGAATCCGAACGGGGGGCTTCGGAGGGGGCAGGGGGTGCGTCTTTCGTTTCAGGCCCGTTGTAAGGCAAGGGAGTTGATTCATCATACAAACAAGTGAAACGATTTATGGACGCGAACGAGGGCACACCAGTCACTCGTCGCGGGGACAAAATCCTCTGCCGGAGCCTCCGAATGCGCTTCTGCTAAGGCCGCGGTGTCGGACAACCGCGCAAGTAGCTCTCCCAGCATCTCATCGCCAAGTTGCTGGATCACCTCGTCGAGGATGTCCATATGGCGAACATCGGCGGGGAGCGGACAGTCCCGAGCCAAGTGATTGGGGTCGCCGCACCTGAAGCAGGCTCGACGAGGGGCGCCCCGAGCCCTAGTACGATCCAACTCCATAGGGATGGGAGCCGGAGGTACCGGGACGGGGGCGTGGGCCGCGGGTGGCGCAGGTGCGGCCACCGGGCGGATGGGGAACGGAGTTGCCGAACGAGTGATGGGGAAGGCGCCGCGGGAGCTCCCGGCGGTCCGCGGGGGTAGCCGTTCCCTTAATGAGCTTCGCTCGCACCAGGGCTTCATATTGTCGGAAAGCCCGAGTGCGCCAGCCCAGATAGTCACGGAGGTCTGGGGGTCGTTCGAAGAGGTGATGCCGTTGTTGATCAAGGGGTCAAGTCCGTGGCGGTACTTGGTTACCTTAACCAACGCGTCTTGAAGCCAGCGAGGTCCATCAAGTCCTCGAAGTCGTCGGTATATCCGTAGACATCCCGCGTTCCCATGTGATAACCCGCGCTTTCCAACTTAGCGAGCGCGAGGTCCTGTTCGTTCTCCTCGACGAACCGAAGGCGAAACTCGGAGAGGAACTGGCTCCACCGAGGGAAGGGGAAGGGGTTTTTGCTCCCATGACGCTCTGCGCATTGCTGAGCAGGTCCCTCCGCCATATAGGACATGGCGTAGCGGACGGCCTTTTCTTCGCTCGGCTCTCCGTTAACTACGAAGGCCTCCGGGGCAAGCCGAGCGTAGGTTTTGACCGCGTATAGGAAGGCGCGGCCGTTTTGATCTCCGTTAAACGCAAACGGGGGGTTTGGTGGTAAGACCAGTTTTGAGGCGACAGTAATGTCACCAAATAACGCATCCGCGTCGGGGGCATTCGGAGATGCCGGGCGGTTCGGGAGCTGCCGGAGGTGGTGCGGCAGCGGAAGCCTGGGAAGCAAGGTGGGTGAGGAGATTGGTGAGGTTGTCTAGTTTCGCCTCAAGTGCGTCCATGCGGCCGTCAGCGTCCGGAGCAGCTCCGGAAGACATAGCGGGCGTAAAGACGACAAGAGCAGAGGAGGAGGGGTCAAGTGGCAGGGGCGGTGACGAGGGGGGTACGGACTCGTACTCCAGGCCTGAGTCAGCACCAAACCTGGCAATCTTGACCGGTTAATCCCGTAGAGAGTTTCTTCTGCTGTAAGGGCAACCCTGGAGACTCCGACGAAAGCCTAGCAGGGGAGGATCCAAAGCGTGAATAAAAGCTACGGGAAATACACGGAGGGACCGACCTAGCAGGGGAGGATCCAAAGAGAAGAAACTCTAAGGGTCCGCCTGCTAGGGCGCCAACTATATACTGGTCGTCCGTAACTGCCGACGTAGAGCGCAGAAGGCCTGAGCGGCGTCGCAGGCTCTGTCCCAAGGTGATCGTTGGGAGGGTCTTGACGGATCGGTGATTGTGCGGGCGAAGGAGGCCGTGGGACGATGGTCGGGGTGGGTCGGAGCGTCCGAGGGGGCGCCGGTCGGATGCGCCTCGGATGCGTTCGGAGGGTCCGAAGGAGGCCGAAGCGGGGGTTCCCCTGACATCCACAAAGAATCTGCCCGATGTGTGTGAAAACATCCAACAGCGCTAGAGTAGATGGCATGTGCGTGAGCCTCAAATGACAAGTAAAAAAGTTACACACACCATCTGATTGCCAACGATGAGCTGGATGAACGGCTACAGGGTCTTGCATAATGGAATGCAGTCCGATTTTTTATTTCTCGCCATTTTTGATTGATTTTTGGCATAAGTGTGCCATCGGCTGGCATTCCCGAGCCTTTCCGAGCCCCCTTATGCCTGATTTCAGCCCAAAACAGGTGGCAGCTGTCACACAAATCCAAAATCACGACTGCACTCCATTATGCAAAAGTCTGTAATGATCGCAATTAGACCACAGTCAATGACAGCCATGAAGTCGACACATACACGCTTCCGATGCTTGAAGTCGTGGGGCTCACGTCGTTGACGCTGGCCGGGAAATTAGATGGGTCGGCGCTATGGAAATCACGGCGTTGACGTCAGTGGGTTGTGAAGAAAAAAAAGCGGCAGCATGACGTACCGGTCGTTTGTCGACATTGGGCAATTGCAACAATGCAAACCGCACCCAAGGCCTGGCTATTTATCTGGATGCGCCTCCGGGGTGGACAACCCCGGAGAATTCTGGAACTGTGGAGACTCAGGGCGGAAAGAAGGCGAAAATTTCCTCTGACTCCCGCCCGTTAAAACGGGCCCAGAAGACGTTCACTTCCGATTCTTTGTGTCCTCCGCATCACAGCTAACTTTAACAGCACTACAACAGTAAACTTTCTATTCCAGCGCTGACGGGGAAGGAGAAGAGGCGCTTAGAACTGGTGGGCAGGGAGACAACGGACTGAATTATGTATAGACAGACCGTTGACCTCTACAAGACAGGGGCTTATGACAATTCCTGCGCTGGAACTTGACAGAAGAGTCTTCCAGGCTAGAAGTTGGAGAAGCTGGCTATTCCAACAGTCAGTACTGCATCGGGAGCGCGCGTACAAGTGGAAAGCCTTCGCTTCTTTTGCCACCTCGCATTTGAGTTGAGCATTATCAAAGTGTGCCAAAAAAGGCAGGACGACAATGAAGCTTTGTTGTTCGCGTCGAAAAGAATGGCAAGTTGAGACGGAGCACTCGTTTGTGTAATGTGTTGAGGATAAAAATGAGAATAGAAACAATAATAATTGAACACTGCTAGTTGCATACATGCATGTTTGTACGAACAATCGGCCTCCAAAGACTCGAAGAGGTCGCGGAGAGCCCGCAACTAATAGCTACCCACAGATCCGTGATATCGATGGCATGAACGCGGAAGAAAACTAGCTAGAGCTGAGAAGCCATAAGCCCTTGATCGCCTTCAAGATCAGCTCGAAGGGGCTTGGAACGAACCTGCACTTCCATGGTCTTCCCGGGCCGGCGCTCTTCAGCTAAAGCCTAAAGGTACTAGTAAGCGAAAAGACGCTAGCAAATGGAGAAAGGAATCATATTATGATCAATTGAAGTTCCTGGAGGCTGGAGCTGCGGGTCAGTTTGACATGTACCCGAATCAGCTTTTCGGTTACTGCTTGCTTCAACCAGGAACACATGTAGAGAATACCGCAAAGCAATCACCACATCTTCTATTCTTTCTATTAACAAGCAACCAAAAGATTGAGAGACAAGAAAGATTTCTATTGCATGCGAGGATTATACGTAGAGTTTTACAGCCAAAAAGGAAAAGCAGAGAGTACTTGTAGTTATATGCGCGTCGTCAGTCTAATGCAGTGTTCGTAAAAAGGAAAATCATGAAGCCGTGGCCTGGGCAAACGCAATCGCGACCGTCTCCGAGTGGCTGAGCGAGATCATCACCTTGCCCACACCCTTCTTGTCCGCGGCAGCCTTCGCCTCGCCATGGAGCCTCACAACTGGCGCACCCGTCTGCTCGTCGTTGACAATCTCGATGTCTTGCATGGCCGCGCCAGCGCCCTTGGACGCAACGCCCAACGACTTGAACACGGCTTCCTTGCCGGCCCAGCGAGCAGCGAACGAGGAGGAAGGCGAGGGCTGTACTCGGCAGTAGGCGATCTCCGCATCAGTAAAGTTGCGCGAGACAAATGTCGGGTTGGTGGATGGTACAGCAGAGATGAGCTCTTGGTCAACACCAATTCCAATGATGCCGGGAGTTGAAGAAGCAGCCAGGCTCTCAGTGATGGCAGCGACGTTGGCAGTGTCAATCGGGACAGCGGTTGAAGGCTTTGTGAACTTGTACGAGTTGGTCTTGATATCCAAACTCGTGCGCGCCATCGAGTTGAGCAGAACAGGCGCTTCAAGCTCGGGTGAATAAGGCGGGGCCTCCTTAACGCGGACCAGCGAATGCTTGATCATCATCTCGCTCATCGCCTTGTACGACTGCTGCGCCCGAACTTCGTGGCGGACCTTGTACGCGTCGTATTGCGATCGCTCAACAGCGCCAAACAGGAATCGCGGGTGAAGGACCATAGCGATACCACCGACTTGGCCAAATCCGAAAGAGGACATGACACCAGCGCGGATGCCGTCGGTGTGGACAGGCTTGGAGGGGAAGAGCAGGTAGCGGCGGTCTTGGAAATGCGAGTCGATGTTGCTGGAGAGGATTAGAAACAATAACAACAAAGGGAAGAAACATACTCGGCATTTCTGTTGCCCGGGACAATACCACTGTTGACTGTCTGCAGCAAACCAGCCATCTGCCAGGCGGCAGATCCACCCTTGGAGTGACCAAGCAAGCTCTTTTGTGCCATAATCGGAACAGCATTGCCAGGTGTTCGAGCAAGGGAAGTGAAGATGTCGTTCCAGATACGTGTCTCGTTCTCCTCCTGTATGAAACGGTTAGCCTAATTCAATTAACAGTCACAACACAAACGTTAGCCTTGGTGCTGGTTCCGTGAATCGACAAAACACCAATATCATCCGCTGTCAGACCCCAAACAGCCAACGCACGACGAAGCGGCGACACTCTCGGGTCAGTGCCTTCAAGCATGCCATACATCGCCAACGCGTCTCGTTCTTGTTGAGCAGCCTCCTTCTCGATGTTGGCAACACGAGCGCCGAAGAACTCGTCGTCAACAGCATCGCCTTGCGCTTTGAGCAGCTCGACCTCCTCTTGAAGTTGTGCGTGCTCGTGAGTGAGCCATTGCGAGATCTGTTTGCGGCGGAAGGCAAGTTGGCGAGCGCGGTAAGCGAGGTCGAGGATAGGGAGAGGGTGTTTGGAGGGAACTTCGCGGGCAACGGTGAGAGGGCCGAGACCAGGAGCGGGAATAGAACGACCGGCTTTGTCACTGTACAAAATATGTTAGCTTGAGACAAAGGAAACGATAGATGGAAACCCACGTCGAAGTTGAGGTGAAAGCAAGGACACCACGGATCGGGCAACCAAGCTCAAGAGCAGTCTTGGCGCTCATGACGATGTGGACACCAGTACCTTGGGCCTCCATGAACTAATCGAGAGATAAGTAAATTGTTGAAGGAACTAGGAATCAACTCACCCCTGCACGAGTAGTAGTCGCTGGACGCGACATCTCAGTCGGCTCGCGACCCATAGCAAACTCAGACTCGGCGCTGCTAGTAGCCTTCATGTTGGCGAACTCGAACGAGCCTTCTTCGCTGAGGTCGTCGAAACCACCAGCAATCATGACCTTGGCTTTGCCAGAGAGAATCGTGTCGCAAGCAATCTCGAGTGATTGCAGAGCGGTTGCGCTATTGAACATAATGAATTTTCTCCTTGATTACGGTGAAAATGACTGACCAAGCACCGACGGGAATCTTGACGGGTCCACTCGACGACATGAGGAGCAAGTTGATCCAGCCCGCAGTCGTGTTGATGAATCTGGAAGAAAGTTAGTGCAAATCATAGTCAAAACTTCAAAACATACGTCTCTTGCAGAATGTCGTTCTGCACATCCCTCTCGTCGCGACGGTCCTTGAACATCTTGCCCATACTGATCGTTCCACCCATTCCACTTCCAAGACACGTGCCGACCTCGGACGGGTGCATGTGCTTGTAAAGCTCATACGGGTCGGTGATTCCAGAAGCATTGAGCGCTTCAGCAGTCGACACCAGCGCCCACAAAGTGCCACGATCGACTTGAGCGATGATGTCTTCGGGAATTCCGTAGCGACCCGCATGCCAACCAGTCGGAATCTGTCCAGCGACAGTGCGGTTGAAGTAGAAGCTCTTGGGGACAAAGACGAGGGCGCCCTTCTTGAGCTTGAAGAACCATTGATCACCTTCGCCAGCCCAAATGTCGCATTTCTCAGCGTGGTGAAGCTTGAACTTTTTGGCCTCGGACTCGGTGACTTCGACGGGCTCAAGGTCGTGCAGGAGCTCGATCTCCTGGTTGAAGACCTTCTTGTGCGGGTCGTAGCCACGGAAGAGCTCGGGTTCTGTTTTGATTAGTAAGTGATCACGTGCAAAATAATCGACTCACCAATAAGACGAACACCAGCGTGCTCGAGAATATCCTTCTGGTAACGGCCCTTGACGTCCTTGTCGTCAACAGGCTCACCACTCTTGCTGTCCACCCAGCCAACATACAACGACCCGTCCTTCAAACGCCCGTCAAAGTGCTTGATGTAGCCCATCAACCACGCCATCTCGATGCATCCCTGGATTGTGAACTCTCCACGCGCCTCCATCTCCCACCTCGTCCGCGAGCTGCCCCATGGTCCGACTTCACCATAACCAGTGATGACCATGACCTTGTCGAGATCGATCATGCCTTGCAACTTCGACAAATCAGCAAAGCTGTCGTGTGCCTCGAGAGTGGGGAAGTCGAAGCGGAAGTTGGCACGAGGGGTAACATCAACTGTCTGCAGAAGTCGCTCTGCCTCAACACCGTTGATGACTTTGAAGTCGGCCGAGTTGTCGAGCGCGATAGCGCGGCGGAGCTCGCCCTTCTTCATGAGGTCGGACCGGATGCGGCCCGTGATGTCGGCCAAGTCGGGCAACTTGTCCATTCCACCGTTAAGGTCGGCCCAGATGGGCTCGACTTGAGTAATGCTGAAGAGGAGCGGGTGCATCAGACCGAGGATGTTGAAGGCCATCTCCTTGGCAGAGAAGGTGCGGACACCGTAGCTCTCGAGCTCGTGGGCGACAATGTTGGTAGGGCCCATGAGACCAGTTCCACGAGTCCATCTGCGATAGTCGTTAGTTCACATGAAAGCAAACGAAGAAAAGAATATACCCAATAACAGCACCAGCCAAGCAAAGATACTCGCCCCAGCTCTCCGAAGCCCAACGTTGGAACAGGGTCTCCAGGGAGATCTTCGACTCCGAGTACAAACCGTCATTGCCGAACAGACCGTGGTTGGGCGACAACGGAAGGATGACTTGAGTTGGCCGAGTAACGAACTGGCGGCTCGCCTTCTTCTTCTTGACTTCACCGAGGATACGGAGCAAGTTGACCAACATGATGCGGTGAGCCAACTCGGACTTGTCGTCCAAACCATCGATTTCGCGACCATTTTCGGGAACACCGGCGAAGGGGATGATGTAGTCGAGATCCATTCCAAGGTTGGCGTAGATGTAGTCAACGAGCGCTTCGACATCTTGTTTCGAGCCTTGGTTGAAGGGAACAACGGTCAAGGAAGAGCCACGGCTACCAATCGTCTGGAAGATGGACTGGTAATACTCGACAGTCGAGCGGTTGTAGCGGGAAGTGGTGATGACGACATGGGCACCACCAGAAAGCAGACCCTTGACGATTTCAACACCAATTGAGCCTTTGCCAACACCAGTCAACAACGCGTTCTTGTCTTTAAAAGTCGTCCCAGATGTGGCGATTTCGTGGAGAATGTCGAGGTAGACACCACTCAGATTGGAGCTGTACTCCCAGTTCGATCCAACCTTGCGCTTCAGGTGAAGAAGGGGAACCTTGTCGGCGGAGACAGAAGAAATGTTGACTTGAGGGCGAAGGAATTGAGAAGACGAACGACGCTGACGAGGTCCAGTGCGACGGGTCTCAGGTGTCTTGCGAAGAGAGCGAACAACGCCTTCGTAGAGGGCCTTGATGCGGTTCTTCTGCTCCTGGCTGATACCAGGTTGCGACTTGACAACGGTCCAGAGCTTCAGCACATCCTCCTGGATCTTGTTGACGTTGACAGCGCCAGAAACAGCATCACCGCTGGCCATCTCCTCGACGTAGGCCTCGAGTTTACGAACATTCTCACGAACAACTTCGGAGTAGACGATATCGCCCTTGGCAGTGACTTCAGTGTGCGGGGCAGTCGGGAAAGTAACTAGATGGAACAAGTTAGACGAGAACATGAAACTGGTTGAACAACGAACCATCTTTGTAGAGGGGATCCTTGCCAATAACCTCACGGACGTTGTCGATGAGTTGCTGGCCGAATTTCTTCGCCAACGCATAGGTCTCGCCCTTCGTCGGGTCGGTTTGGTCGATGTTGTACTGCATATAAGCCAGCACCTCGGGATCGGCACGGTTCATCAACGCAATGCAACGAGCGGTGATATCACGATCGACAGTGGTCAAACGGCCAAAGATGATGTCGTAGAACATGAGGAGGGCATCTTGACGAACCCAATTCCACGACGAGTCGAATCGGCGCGCCTTGAGGGGGTCGAACATGGGCTGAATACCCTCGATATAGACATCACCATGCTCCTTTGCGATGTTGTCGAGCTTGGTTTGCAGCGCAAGGCTGTTCGCCTTCTCGTTGTCGAGCGCGGTCTCGCCGGCCCGGGAATCCCGGTTGAGGTAGCGCATGTAAAGCTCGATGTGTTGAGCGGCAAATGTCTCCTGATCAGCTTGGAATTTGAGGAACTCCTCGCTGTTAATGACTGCGCCTCCACCTCCACCACCTCCGCCGCCAGCAGCTGCTCCCGACGACAACGAAATGCCCGCCCGTTGCGCGTAGATGGCAACAATGCCATCAAGCCATGTCTTGGCCTCAGCTTCGGAACCAAGACGCTTCGCTGGCTCCATCGTTGTCGCCAAAAGCAGAACACCATCAGCACGACCCGATCCGAGACCCCAGGTCTTCGCCAAATGAGCCTTGATTGCAGTGGAATTGAAACCACCGGGCATCTTGCCACCCACGACACGCGAAACCAGTCCAGTGGTGTACTTGCCCAAAGTACCACTGTGGCCAGAAGAAAGCGCGCTTCCCAATTCTTCGAGCGGGAGTTCCTCGCCCTTCTCAGGAGCGGAGGTAAACTCGAGCTGGAGATCACCCAAGATCTCGTTCTGAAGAGTGGACTTGCCACCAACGAGGTCCTTGATGGACTTGGAAAGGGAAACCTCGTTGATTTGTTTCTTCAACTTCTGCGCGACAATGGCAGTAAGGACATCGATCGCCTTGACGGGGACATCGTCGATAGTTGCGACTGGGCCAGAAGGAGCGGCAACAACGACCGCAACAGGTGCGGCAGCGGCAGCGGCAACGGGGGCAGCAGCAGCAGCATCAGGAGTTTCGGATTCAGCAGCCGCCTCAGCCTCGTCCTCGAATTGGTAGTAGATCTCCTTGACGTTCTTGGAATGGCAAAGGATGGTGCGAGTTCGGCTAATCGAGTCGTCTTTCGCCTCGTACTTGGCCTTGAGAGTACGAGTGGCCATTCCGGTCAAAGTGGGAGAGGGGCCAAGTTCAATCAAGCGTTCGAAAGCAAACTCGGTGAAAAGGCGATCCTGAGTTTGAATCCAGCGGACAGGTGACGCGAATTGGTAGGCGAGGAGCTCGACAAGGATGATGTAGGCGAGCTTCTGACGTTGCTCGGCACTTGCCCAGTTCTCCTGGTCCCACTTCTTGAGAACTTTGTCGAGACGCGGGGAAGAAGTCTGGTCGTAAATGATTTGCGCGTACTCCTTGGTGACAGCGAAGGGGATGGCGATGAGATTGGGGATGTATTTGCCAATAAGCATGTCGGGATCCAGCTGCGTAACATTGATCTTCTTCGACAAGTCTATGAAAAAATGTCAGGAAAGTAAATAAATGAGAAGGATTGATGTCATACAAGCTCGGAAGGGCAAGACTCCAGCCCAGAGGTAGCGTGAGTGGAACGGCACATCGATACCGGGGAGCGGGATCGTCGCAAAGCCACGCTCGAGCTTGATGTAGCCCTCGGCCTTTTGCTGGTCTTGGGCACGACCGAAGCATTCTTTGACGATGTCGCCCAACATCTCCTTGACCTTTTCGACGGTGAACTGCTCCGTCAGCTGAACAAACACAATCAGTTAAGTCCAATGTAACGGATATGATCAACATACCTTGGAAATGTCGATCTTCTGAATCTTCAAGTAGTTAAGCACATTCGTCATCGTCTGCAGAGCGACAAGCTCTCCAGCGCAGACGTATTGTTGACCCTATAAAAATGAGAATAAGAATAACAGAACAAACCGAAACAAACCTCGACATTGAAGTTGACAATCTCAAGCAAAGTACCGGTCAAAGTCGAAATAGTATCAACAACCTCTCGCAACGCCGCATCAGTGAAAGTCTTGGAGATGCGACTCGGGTTAACAGCACACATCGCGTAGTTGGAGCGGTTGTGCGCGTCACGCTCGACAGCGCGCTGCATGGTAATACCACGGTAGAACACGACATCGACGAGGGCGGAGATGTGGAGGACATCGGCAATTGAGGCCAGCGCAGAATACTCTCCAAGACTGTGGCCAGCGAAAGCGCAGTCCTTCTGGACAAAGCCCTTCATGCGCATGTCCTCGAAAGCAGCCTTCTCAGTGACGACAAGCGCGATTTGAGCGAACTGGGTAGCGAAAAGCAGACCTTGCGGGTGGCTGAAGGTGTACTTGGGCGTGCGAACATCAATGTCCGAGAAGAGCGGGAGGGTCTTGACGTTCCCGTCCTTATCCATTGTGTCGTAGGTCATGTCCATGTAGCGACGACGAATAGCTTGACCCTTGATACCACCAAAGTGGATTGTCTTCTCCTTCGGGTTGTCTTTGACGATCTCGACGATCGAGAAGCCGTAGACCGCAAGCAAGTGGGTGTCGGCTCCATCCCAGACAGCACGAGCAGCAGGCGAGGAGTTGTACAAGTCCATGCCCATGCCCTGCTCTTGCGAACCTTGACCCGTGAAAACGTAGACCGTGGTGGGTTGCGAAACCTCGGCCGAGCCCTCCAGCACCTTCTCGCCACGAGAGTTAGAAGTGGCAATGTTGACAACGATGTTTCCATCCCGCATGCCAACGTGGCGAATTTTGACGCTAAGTTCGTCACCAGGAATGACCATGCCAACGAAGGAGACGTCGTAGCTGAGCAAAATTAAGTTAGAAAGGGAGAGAAATTAGACATAAAAAACTTACGAGAGAACGCGTTCAGGGTGACCCTTGGCAACAACAGTCTCGACATAGCGGCGAGTAGCCGCGCTGGACCACAATCCATGGGTGATCGTGGCAGGGAGGGAGGCATAGTCGGAGAAGTACGGGTTGATGTGGATGGGATTGAAGTCACCCGAGACCTTCGAGTAAGGCTCGTTGGTAAGAGGAGCGTGGAACGAAATTGGGGTCGAATTCAATGTATAGCCCTCGTTGGGGAGAGGCGTCGAGAGACCTTGCGCGACACCATGTCGTTGAATGTAAGCAACGACCGGGTTACCGCGGCAATCATCTTGCTCGAAGTCGATTGAGCCAACGGGAATGAGCTCCTTCAGCTGGTTGCGGACGAAGACTTGACCGGTGACGGTGACATTGCTGTACGAGGTCTTGTCCTTGAAAGTGACTTGAGATTGGACACGGAAAATCAAACTCGTTCCAGCCAACAACGGCTTCGACTCGTCGATCCACTCGAACCATTCCTTCGATTGTAGAACACCAACAGCAGCATCCGTTTCGAGCTTGACAACGTAGTCAGGTTCCTCCGTCGTCTCGAAAGTGTTCTCGTAGTCGGTAAAGCGACCACGGTAGAGGAAGGCGGAAACGACCTCGATGACCGGCTTCCCGGCCCGGTACACGTGACCCTTGACCTTGACCACTTTGCCCGGGTCGGTGTTGCTGACCGACACAATCTTGGCCTCAGCCTTGCAAACATCTCCGGCGCGAAGGGGTTTCTCGCCGTCGAGCATGCGGAAGCCGTTGGACAAATGGACCAGACGGAGCAAGTCGCCGTCGATGGAGGCGGGGAAAATTGACTTCATAATAGCCTTTGAAATGTGTTAGTAACTTCGGAGAATGAGACTGGAAATGAGCAGACAAACCTGCCAGCCAGTCACAATCGCGAAATCCATTGGCGCGGTCACTTCCTCGTTGCGAACGGTGGAGAACGACTCGCCCTGGTTGCCCACAATAGCACAGAATTGCTCGACAGCAGCACTCTCGATGGTGACCTCGGGACCATGGAAGGTTTCGTGGATGTCGATTTGGGGGAGGACAGCATCATCTCCATACCACAACTTCCAGTAGAACTGCTTGATGCGCGTGTTGCGATCAGTGGCGATTTCGTGAATGGGCGCGAAGCCCTGCGACGGCTTGTACTCGAATTGGAGGGAGAGCGGAACAGACACATCGCGACGATCTTCGAAAATGGTGATGTCGATGAGTTTCGTTGTCGGGGAGTACTTGATTTCAACGGCCTTGAACAACTCCTTGTGCTCGCCGTAAGAACGAGCGCTACCATAGAGGGAGACCGAAACGGGAGCGCCATTCTCGTAGCCGACAACAATCTTCTGGCCTGTTCGTGGCGCAAGAAGTCGCTTGATGGGATTGTCGATGTAAGAAGTGCCTTGAACGATGGTCGTCGAAGTGGTCAAAGCGCGCAACCAGCTCAGCTCTTGACCGCCCAAGGTTCTGAGCCAAACCGAGGTAACAGGCAAGCGGTCGACGAACTCGAAAGTGACCTCGTTCTTCTGTTGGGTGCGTTTAATGCACGGGACAACGGGAGGAGGAATGGGATGGGCAGCGAGGTAGTCGATGGTGGGAACTTTGCTTTCGTCGCCGTTGTACTTGGAAGCAAGAAGACGTTGAATAAGTTCGGCATGAATGTTGCCCAACATATCCTTGATCGGCTCGTCCTTGACCTTCGAGTGCTTAACAGCCATGGGGCCTTGAAGGATGCAAACGCGCTGGGGGTCTTGGTCGAAGACAGCCTCGATGTCTTCAGCAGCCCAAAGAGAGTCCTACGAAAAAACAATCAGTCATAGTAGAAAGATAGGGACAGTCAAACGAACCTTCTTGAACCAGACTTCGAAAGTAGCATCGAGGACAGGAATGAAGGGGACAGGCTTTTGACCGGGACGTTGGGAGATGGCGAGGAAGTAGGCGGAGTCTTCTGCGGCAAGGAGCTGCTTAGTAGCAATCGGATACTCCTTCAAGAAGGACTCGATGAAAGGCAGGGGGTCTTCCAGGGACTTGTAAGACTGAAGCAGAGAAGGCTTCTGTCCACCACCGTTCACACCCGCGAAACGCTCTTCAACCCGACGAAGCCAATCGCCGGTCAAGTTGCGCAACGAGACATCAACCCACCGTTGTTCGTGGGCAACGAACATCAAGCGGACCATACGCAGGACGGTTTCCTCGTAGGTCATGTCACCGAGTTCCTTTGCAACACTGCCATCCTTCTTCCAACCAAACCACGGCTTGCTGAAGTCGCGATTCAACTTGCCAATAATCTCGTCCCGTCGCTCCAACAACCAAGCGGCACGCTTCTCCTTTGGCATCTTGAAAACGGTGTCGTCGAACTCTTTCCACAATTTGACACCACGAGTTGCAACCTTGTGGATTGGCTCGCCAAGCTCGGACCTGACAGTCAAAATGCCGCCGGTGGGTTTGGTGTAGGTACCCTCCCATTGAGCATCGTCGACACCAGAAGCAGCAACAATGAGGTCCTTGACCGAAGAGCTGGTATGCGCTTCCTTAGCCACCATGACGCGACTAGCGAAAAGGAATCCATCAAAAGGCATCGGTTGAACTTCGTACTTGACGGCCCATTCACCAGTCAAGTATGGCCAAACATCCTCAGCGGCACCGAAACCACTGCCACCAACGAGAGAGATATTGGGTTGTTGGCGGATTGCGCGGTAGGTTTGGACAATGGGTTGATGGAAGTCCTCGTACGAGTGGTGACCACCAGCACGACCACCAGTCCATTGGAGGATGACGGGGAAGTCGGCGTTGGCAGCGGCGATGGCGACAACTTGTCTGATGCCGTCCACTGAGCCGGGCTTGAAGGCAACATGGCGGATACCAGCGAGACGGAGACCACCAATGATGTCTGCAGCCTTCTCCGTGCTCGGGATACCGGCCGCGACACAGAAACCTTCGATGGGGAGACCCTCTTTACGGAGCTCTTGCCACAGTGGGAGTTGGAAGCCGAATTGGCGCTGGTTGATGTAAAGGGCATTGAGCGTCAGACCGACACCAGCGGGAATTTTGGCCTGTATTTCCGCAACTTTGGAGCGGAGAGCGGCGTTGTTGTAGTGGCCACCACCAGCGAGCTCAATATGATATCCAGCGTCGAGGACGGCACTGACGAAACCGGCTTGGACAGTAGAAGGGGTCATACCGGCGACCATAATCGGTGGCTTGCCGAGGAGACGCGAGAATGGAGTGTCGACATACATGGTGCCATCGCTGAGTAGAATTAGTATGGGTAGAAATGAAAAGAGATTGTAACATACCTTGTCTTCACCAAACTCGGCGAGAACTTCTTCGTCCACCAGTCCTCGTACTTGACACTCTGAGAATCATACAACTCTGCGTCGCCCTTGGCGCGGTCGCCCACAACGATAACACGGACACCTCGGCCATCGAGGTTCCTCGCGGTCAAAGGACCAATTCCGCTCAGTCCTCCAGGTCCAAAGTCGACGGCATGGGTAGCGGTCTCGGGGAAGTTAGTCGCTGCAGACCAGTGGATTGCCCTCGTGAAAATTTGCTCGCAGAGGGACTGAGTGATGGAAGTCGATAGCTGACGAAGGTCAGACCCTGAAATGATTGCATCAGCAAGATGATCAAACACGTGAAAAAGATAAATCACCATCCTCCGTGTTAAAAACGGGAATCGCCAGATCAGAGGCCGCCCACAACTCCTCCCCATTCAAATCCTCAGCCATGATCTTCTCCGTCTGGCCGACAAGGTATCCGCTGTGGTACGGAACACCAACAACGAGGAAACGAACAGAGAAGACGGGCTTGCGTTGAGAGAAGGGAATCTTGCTCTGGTCAAGGCCGCTCAGAGCACGAACCTTCCGAAGGCTGGTGACAAGGCCATAGAGGGAGCGAGCTGGCCCGGTAACGACGAAGGCGCGGGGGCCATTGTGAAGGGAGACGCTGATTTGAGCATTCTCGGCAAGGTGCGTGTTTGTCTTCTTAATATGCGACTCGAGTTCAACGAGCTTCAGGCCCGTGACGGATAACATCGGGCTGGGGGTGCCCTCGCCGCCCTCGACGGAGTCATTCACGATGCCCGGCTCGAGGGCAACGACAGGGAAGGCTTGTTGGCCACGAAGACCCGAGAAGAAGAGCCATTTGATAGCTTTGAGACCGTTGGCGGTGAACGACTCGAAGGAAGTAGAAGCCGAGATGGCAACAGCAGACACGATGCCTTGGGAATGGCCAGTTGCACCCGCAAGTGTATCGCGATACTCGCCAGGTGTTAGGCCAGCCACGTTGCAAGCAACGAGGTATTGCACGAGTTGTGTCAGACCAATAAGCGGGAAGGACACTGGGACAGATGCGAGATAGGCGGTCGAGGGTCGTGGAGACGCGCCAGAAAGCCACGAAACGACATCGAGGCCGAACGTGTAGTGGAATGTGGAGTTTTGCGCTGCAGCAAGAGGGATAAGCGCATCTTTGGTGACGATTTCGATGAATTGCGCGACAAATGGCTGATAAATGTCGTAGAGCGATTGCAACTCGTCGAAATAGACTTCGTTCGTGCCTTGTCCGCCAAAAAGGGCGAAAACGGAGGCCTTGTCATTGGAAACAGCACTAAGAAGCGCTGATTTGGGAGCCGAAGGGATCTGGTCGGCGGAGGAGCTCGCTCGCAAAGTTGCAAGCGCGAGAATGTAGGAAGACAGGACGGCCTTGCGAACTTCGGTGTCGTATGACGCGGCCAGGGAGTGGATGTCCTTCTTTGTGAGGTACGTCGACGAAAAATGTTTGAAGACGTGGAGGAGGAGGGAAATACGGGCGTCTACCGACTCAGGCAGTTGGTTTGCCTTTTTGGCGACATGCCCCAAAAAGCGAGCAGTCAACTCGACGATGGCTTCTGCTTGATCTTCGAGCTCGGCGGTGTTGTCTACGGTGTCTATGACGGATTGCTCGTGCACGAACTCGTCTCTAAGGACCTCGGCAGAGATCCACTCGTCGGCACTGGTGGAAACAGGAATGGAGACCTAGAAATAGTTAGAACGCGTCAGTCAGTAAAAGAATGCAATGAAGACGGACTCTAAGCTGGCCAAGAGCGACGACGAGAGGTCGCATAGCGATTTTGGGGAGCCCGGCAGCCATGCTGCTCGATGGGAGAGGGCAAGAAGGATTTAAAGAATCGAACCCCAACGGGTGCCAAATTTTGGGGTAACGGCGTGACGCTGACGTTAATCTAGCCTCGTCCGATTATTACTCGCGCCATGGTCGGCATCCTTCAAGTGCTTATGTTTGGCTCAGGAGATTCTAAACACGAAAACGCGTTTGCTACCTTCAAATTCCAGAATTTCTACGACGCGTGCAACCAGTGGAAGACGCGTCCATGTGCGAAACACGTTAACTCCATTTGGACGAAGCAAATCCTTCCTGACCCTCCTTCAACATCTTGGGGTGCGTATTCGGTCGTCGTAAGCTCTCCCGCACTGTTGTAAACCCCCAGAGTCCAGACCTCGAGCAACGATTGTGTATCAACAGTGACTTGACACCATTCATCTTCCTCCCCAACGAAAACGTGACCCCGAACGCGCCTTACTGGCGTGTCCCGTGCTGTCTGACTGTGCAATTAGATATCTATTCGGCCATGCTGTCGGGCGGGGAACACTTAATCTAGACATCAATACCATCGAACAGGTGGGGAATCACCGCGATAATGACCCGAAGTTGCTGTCAGGATTGCGATCTTCGTTGCTTCAGTTGAAGGGCGAGGGAAAATGAGCGTCGATGTAGGGAGAGCTTGATCCATAGATCACATGTTTCGCAATTCCGATGTGCTTCAAGTTCGTTGAAGTTGTGTTTAAAACTGCAAGAAAGTTTGCTCCGGATGATACCACAGTCAGGACTACATGACCGTGCAATCGATAATCATTGCATCCAGTAGCCGTAGGGCAGTGGGAGTGGGAAGAAAGATACTAGAAGGTCATCATTGGCGCACTTGAAGCTGAACCACGTCCAATCGATTGGGATCAGCAGAGAGCGATTCTCAGCAGTGTCAGCACGTCATGTCCACCTATAGGTGGTTGCGCAAGCCCGTTGCCAGTGACAAGTACTCAGTATTTGACAGTCGAGATGGGTGTATATTGGATGGCCAGGAATTCCAATCCATTTGAGCAATTGGACGCAGCAAATTTGCAAAACAGCAGGAGCTATAAGCCCAGATGAAGTCTCGCAAACGTGGACTCGTCGTGGAGCGCCACCGTCGAGAACGTGACTAGTATTCCAAGAGATTCGCACGAAGAATGCAACTTGTTGTTGCCCAAGCAGAGGGGTGAGGCTTGTGAGGTACTCAAGTCGAAAGTTGTAACAGCCTGAGATTGAGATAGGTTTCTTGAGCGGTTCCTTGTGACACTCGGTGTCACACCCGATTCTCACGACCATGTCAGCAACGGTTTCAAGTTGCGCTCTGTTGCGCTCCTACGACCCACGTTAACGCTGGCGACCTGCACCTGCGGAGGCTATTCTACTTCCGTGTCCGAGTCCCTATCCTTCGCTGGCTCAGTAACAGCTGGCAAAAATAAACAGAGTTACATCTAGATCGATACTAGTATTGCACGCAGGCTCAATCGACAACTTATCTACTCCAACCTCTGGATTACCCGCCTCTCTGTACACACCACTGCCTTCCAAGCGTGAGTAAAACATGAAGACAAAGTGGATGGGGATATCAAACACCCCAGGTCGTTTCGAACTCGCTCTCACGACATCGCCACGCACTTCGAAGACTCTGCATGTACCTCTGTAAAACTTGACTCCAAACCATATTCAAGTCGTACCCCTACACCATGACTCTGTCTATCTCAGCGTCCGCCCGCTACCAAACACTCGAAAACATCAGCGCCTCGCCTTCAAGTTCTTTACCAATCGTGCAACTGCTACCTGCAGGTGAGAAGAAAACCAAAACGCGCAAACGCTGTGCGCTCTCCTAGTACTGCAGCATACATGCAATATGTTCAGAATAACCAACAGCCTATCTAAACTAAGACTCTCATGAGATAGCGAATGTCATGGGACGGTAACTGAGCTTACTGTGAGTGTGTTACCGCTTTCCGGTCCTTGCCTCATGAAACAGGCGGCTATACTTCACATTAGAATCATGCGGTGAACTCACCCGGCGGCTGGCAGAACCAGCAAAGCACGAGATGGACATAACCACGACCATTCGAATGGGTCGCGTCGGACCCGCCTGCGCTTCGGTCAGTCAAGTGCGTCTTGTACAGGTGTGTCTGCTTCCGTTCAGACAACTCAAAGTCTAGACACCCAAACAGGAAACATGCGCTAACTCTGCTAGGGTGGTGGTAGGCCGACGCATCCCCATCATGTGGGTACATGCTGAAATCCAAAGCACGAAGCAGCTCCCACATTTCGTGCTGCCCAGCGGGATCCTGCGAGAGCCAGACCTTTTTGACTGGGCGGCCCGGGCAGCTCCTCGTTCAACATCCACAAACAATGTCGGCGGGCTCTGACTCGGAAATGGCGCAGAATCGAACCCCGCTACGTGTACGTACTTGTCTGGTGGGCATTCTTGAGCGAGAAGTCAAGCGGAACTGGCACGAGAGAGTGGATCGTATTTCTTTTCGGGCTCCCCGGGCCCATTTGATTGACTTGCGATGTCGAGTCCGCATGCATATGGGTCCCGTGCTTCCTTCACAGGCCACCTCACTAACAGCGAACCGACAGCTGTCGCGTCATACAATCCGGGAACGGCAAAGTCAAACCAAAAACAGGCAGCAGGACTGCGCGAAGAGTCGAGGAGCACTTTCCTGGCGCGGGAGAAGCCAATAAAGCGCCAGTGGAAGCAGTGGGACTTGGGAAACAGGCGTTTTGCGTTGTCGTTCGCTTCCCGACGTTCTTGAGTTTTCCTGCGTCTTGACTTTTGGAGCCTAATGTGGAATCGACAACCACAGCCACGCTCATGCTGAATCTTCGAGCATCGATGGCGCAACGTTAACGGTGCAACGCGCTCGGCTCAGGCACGGTCACTTCGTGACTTATCGCACTCAACAATCGCAGCGCTACTTGCTAGCCTACACACTATGGTGGGCTGTGGCGTGCTGGAATGTCGGAAACAAATGTCGGCGAGAGCATAACAATCCTACTCCCGATTTGTATTCACCGGCTTAGAGACCGCTGGCAAAGACGATGATGATACGTGTCGCATTTTCCTTTGCTTCCTTTGCACACTCCACAGTTCTGGAATTCTCCGGGGTTACCCACCCCGGAGACGCATCTAGATAAATGGCCAGGGTTTGGGTCAAGTCCGAATCATCGCCCACTTGTTGCGTCGCACTTCCCCATGGCTGAGAACAGCGTTAAACGGTACGTTGTCGCTGCTCTTTTCCACACACACTGACGCCAAGAGTCAGCATTTCAAAATCAAACTTCCCCGCAGGAGTTGACGACGCAACCATCATCAGCCCCACAGCCTCCAGTATCGGGTGCGTCCACTTGATGGCTTTTGTTTACTAGCGTCTTATTGCGATTTTTAGTTCATCCGCCACGAGTGGCGCCACAGCAACCAGTGCGTCCATGTTTTAGACCAAACATTCAGAGCTGACGCACAGTAGCCTTGGCGGAAGTTTTTGAAATTATTCTCAAGATTCTGTGCGGCAAAGACAGCCGTTTCCCACTCACGAATGCGACGGAAGAGGCAAAGACGCAGGCTTTTGACGAGCTGATGGCCAAGGTTAAAACCATATTATTTTCAAACAAGATTCCCATTCAGATGGCCTCCGACATCAACCCATCGATGTCTTGAAAACTTGTATCAGTAGTATTAAATATGTACAAATGTGTCATTTTGCTGTTGCTTTCTTTCTAATGCCCTTCTCAGTCTTCGCTCCCAACGGCGCTGAGTCGTCTCCGCTAAGTCTCTGATGGACATATTCTGACCTGAATCACACTTTGAGTCCCACTGCTCTGGCGGCATCCCGCCCACAGGCCGATGTACGCGGCGCTTAGGAGGGGCCGGTTGTCTTCGCCGTATCTGGCCTGTCCTAATTAGCCATGTCAATAATGGAGAGCATAGTATACCGAATGTGCGCTGGATGGCCTCGAATCGCGTCCTCGGCGGCGGCGGCGGCGTCCATCGCGGGTTGAGCGGCGACGGCCACGGCAGCGGGCGCTCCCGGCGCTCACGTGCGGACGGCAGCGGCTTCTCGTACACGTTGTTTGGGAAGAGGTGCGGGCAGCGGAAGCGGAGAAATTGGCGTGGCGAAAGCACATTATCCGTCATGGTCGGTGAGCATTGAGGGCAAGCTTGTCTGTCACAAAGCCCCTCTCAACCCGCCACCGCCTCAATGATCCTTCTTACGAAGGAGCCCGCCCTCTTCGGCCTGTCTCACTGTCATGCGCGTGCGGTAGCCTGGAGGCTAGCGCAAAAACGAAAGCCTCTATTTTAATGGGCACGGGCTGGGAACTCAGTGGTCACTGGTGGAAAACATGACTGATATCCTCACTCTCCATTAACCAAACGTTCAGCGCGGTATTCAAAGCATGTCCTCCAAGACACGCTCAACACATTGCAGCATATCACAAGCAGCCCACACGACTTCTAGTCACTGCTTGACAAACTCGAATGCTCCGCCGAATTCGGCTGGGAGCGTGAGCGACGCCTCGGGTTTAAACCAGGTCTTACAAGTCTGAATACGTATTCAACCCAAATTCAACCCGTCTGAACCGACGAGCCTCACAAGCCAAGATTTGCTCTCGCAGGGTGCATAACTGCACTTTGAAGGAATCTTCACGTCCGTGCTTGGCCCGTCCGTGCCCTTCGTTCTCCGTTCAAGCAACAACTTGAACTGCCAGTGATGAATCCCCAGACTCTCCCCGGACCTCCCTACGGTGGCCAAAGGACACGACACCACGCTGTCGCATTGATGTATGAAGCCTTGTAGGACGCTCGGGCGCGATTCCAGGCTGACCTTTTGCTTTGTACTATTTGACTCGCATGTCAGCACTGCTTGATTTTGGGATCACCAAACGCACAAATTTCACCAGCTGGGCTGCTGCAACTAGTACTTCAAGCTTCAAGTTGTTGTGGTTGGGCGGATTGAGCAAAGTTGACTCTACTTATTTCCCGCAGCTTCGGTCTCGACTCCCGCCATAAGGCTGTTCTTTCTTCCACCATCTCATTGTCAACTTTGCGCGTCGTCGCCCAAGGTGTGTTCGTGGTTACTGCGGGCTCGTCAATACTACTAACTTAATAGGGCTCCTCTTCCACAGTCATCGATTTTGTATCTAAGTCGGGGTACACCCCTTTGCGATGCGAGTATTTGCCCAACATCGTGTCACTGAAGACGGCGAATTTCCTGTCTCATTTGACGGATTTATCAAGTAAGTACACGCCAAGTCGATATCTAGATGTACGATAATGAGAGCTTGATTTACGCAGCCTTTGCATCAGTCTTTAAATTTTTCGAGCCCTTTTTCCTCCGCAAAGCGCGCTTCAACTTCCGCTCCCACCTCCGCTGACTCGTGCGCGCCGCGTCCTCGATCTCACATAGCTGCGAGACCAGCGGCATATGGTCCCACTGCGCGGGCGTGAAGCCGTGCACGGGCCGGTGTCTCCGGCGGGGCCGCGGCGACCAGCGCCGCACCATCGGCTCTGTCCATCGCCTGAGCCAGGAGCGTGGGAAACAAAGAGCGGTGCACGCACCGTATATGCGCTGCATGGCGTCGTAGAGCGGCAGCGTGTACAGCGGCGGGGGCGGCGTCCACGCGGGGTTCAGCATCGACCGGGCCGGGACGGCGCGCCGGCGCTCCTTGCGGCGCTGGGCCGAGGGGAGCGGGCGGGCGAAGACGTTGTTGGGGAACAGGTGCGGGCAGCGCAGCCGCAGGAATTGGAGAGAGGAGAGGACCGTGGTGGGAGAGGGAAAGGCCATACGCCCCTGTTTCGTCCTCCCTTAGTGTGCCTGTGCCTCGACCTCAGTGACCTGCTCGACATTTCTGCCGCCCTTCTCGTCTCTGTACGTATAATGCCGCTTACTGTGCTCCAGAGAAGACCGCAGACTAGCAAATGGCATTGAGGACAGAAATCCAGACAGACAGATTTCCCGTGACTGATCGTGATGCTCACCGGACACGTTGCCAAATTCCAACCGCTACGTCGGATGGCATCGCGCTCTCCTCCAACTGCGCAACATGTTCAAGCCTCACCACCTGGCACCCGCGGATGCCACTATATCTTCCAACATGTTGTGGCAGCTCGCAAGAAACACTTCGCGTTCCCAAGGTCCGACCTGGACCATCTCTATGCTACTGCGACCTTTCGTGAAGCCTCACGGCCAACGTGGGTGAAGCGCTCCAGCCCGTCCGAGCCATCGCTTACTAGAAAGACTGGTCTTCTCTGCACGTACCTAAACCACAACTTGAATCAAGTCGTGTCCATCCACTTTGCCTATCGCAACCGCCCGTTCCTCTTGTCACCAGCCGCTTGAAAGAGCATCAATGCCTTGCTTTCAAGCTCCCGTCAAGATCCCTTTCGCGCGGTCACAATCTGTCCTGTAAAGCCGATGCTCAAAATTCTCTCGCCAGGTGAGTTATTTCTTGATTATTCTACTAGTTTCTAGATGACTTTTGTAGATACAGCTTCGCGGCCTCGTACAATAACCTATAGAACCAATCAGGTAGACTGCCAGTGTAGCAAGTAAGTTTATTGATAATATGAAAATATGGAGCGACTCCTCAGGTGTTCAACAACCCGCACTTGGTTAGATACGCAACGCGTTCGTGTGCCGACAGTACAGCCACTTCGGGATATTCCTCGTCTGGATCGACGAGCTTATAGTGGCCGTTGTAGACTGGCCGCCAGGCGGAATACGGCTTGGCCCGCTGCGCGAACAGCGCGCGCGGGTTGTCGACGCCGGGGTGCGCTTTGAGGTACTCTGTATGCCAGTCGCGAAATTTATTATTTCAAGACGCAATTCTGCTGGGGTAATGGTAGGGCGGCACATCCTCGTTAGTATCTGGATGCGCGTTGAAGTCCAGACAGCACGTCAGTCCAGCCATCTCGCGGCAGCCAAAGGTTCTTGACGGGACGAATGCCCCGAGCGGGACGGCTGGGAGCCGGCGCGCGCAGACGTGGCCTGCCTCCGCCTCCGAGAAGTCCACGATGTAGCATCTGAGGACCTGGGTGGCCTCGTAGTGCGGCATGTCGAATATGACTTTCTCGAGGAGATCGTCCGTGCCGCGGTGGACGACGCCAAAGTCGTGCAGCAGCTCAAACACACGGCCAACGCGGACCCTGGCGACGTAAGCCCAGTGACCCCGAATGACAGCAACGCGCCCACCTGATCGACTCGGTGTCTGCCCGGGCCCGAACAAAGTCTGTGAACGGGACACCACACCACTGGAGCACGCTGAACAGGACGATCCCCGCCCACTTCCCGGTGTCCATGATCCAGATCCCGTGATGCCGCGGGACCAACACCCCGGCGGCGTCGGCGACGAGCTTCTCGTACCTGCTGAAGCTCTCCAGCGCGCGGTCCTGCGTGGCGTCAGACCTTATTTCAACACCTCATACGACTACCTGGGTGGAATGCTCGGCATTCGGGAGCAGCCGGAGGAAGAACCCGTCGTCGGTCGTGGTGCTCCGCGCGTGGACATACAGCGCCTCGGCCTCGTTGGACGGCTTCCGGCCCCAGCCGCGCACGTGCTCGACGGAACACCGCAGGCGCCGCCGATCACCGACATACGTCCTGTACACCGCGTCCGCCGCGACATGGAGCGAGGTCACGCCGCTGGGGAGCGGCGGGAACCCCCGGGCGTGGTCGGGGATTTCCCATTCATATGCGGCGAAAGACGGCGAGTCTTGGAAGGAGATGGTGATGGTGGGTGCCTCCCATTCTTGGACCGGCCGCGCCGCTGGGGTGGACATGTGCGAGCCCATGGGTGAAGAAAAAGAGGAGTATTGATTCAAATTTCACGTGACCAGCGCTACATCATGTATATGTACAAATAACTTGTCTCTCTTGACAGACCCCGCGTCGGCATGTAAGCTCTCCGATTGTGCTACTAGCTTCTCTTCAATGCCCTCCTCAGCAGCCAACCCCGGTCCTCGTAGACGCGTTCAATCCGCCGCCAGGTCAATTAGCATCCGCTGGAAGAACTCCACCAGTAATCCGGGACATACCCCGGCGCGGGCCGGTACTTACGGCGCTTCGGCGGCAGCCACAGTCTGCCTGCAAGAACTCAAAATCAATAGCTATGCTACCCTCTTGTGACTACTAGTACACACCGTGCGACCGCGCCATTCCCTCAGCATTTGTCCGCGGCGACGGCGGTGGCGGCATTCATAACGGGGTTCAGCGGGACACCTGCCGGGCCGGACGGTCCCGGCGCTCGCCGATGGGCTTTTCGTGGACGTTGTTAGGAATAGATGTGGGCAGACCATACCCCCCCTATCCAGTACCTTCCGTTGAACCCACCTCTTTCCCCCCCAGCGCCCTCCTCAGCCTCCGCTCCCCGTGTCGCCTCCGCCTTTCCACCGCCTTCTCTATATGCAACTCCTGGCGCCAGGCGTCCATGTAATCCCAGTGCTCCGTCGACGGGCCGGCGTGTCCGGCGCACCGGCTCGACCCCGCTCCGCCGCCGCAGTTGGCTGAACAGACGCTGTGCCTCCTCAAAGCGGCTGCGCGGCGCGGGCGGCGGTGTCCACGCTGGGTTGAGCGGTGATGGGTGTGGTAGCGGGCGCAGCCGGCGTTCTCGGGCCGAGGGCAGCGGCCGCTGGTACGGGTTGTTCGGGAATAGGTAGGGGCAACGGAAGCGTAGAAATGTCGGCGGGGAGAGAGTGGTCGTGGTGTCCATAAAGCAGCCCCTGTGTTTTTTGCAACATTGATTGAAACGATTTTATTGATTGGTAGGTAGAAACAGAGGTAACACGAAAGTGGTATGTGGACTTCTCGACGGAGCAAGGTGAAATAAAAAAGAGAAGTCTGAAGTGGTGGGTACGAATTTAACACACGATGGCTGGTGCGGGGTGCGCTGCCTCAGGCTGCTGTTGTTGGTTTCGCAGCTTGGGCGCGGAGATGAGCTTCGAGACAAGTTTCAGATGCCGGCGCCATTGGCAAGTGGGAAGCCTCATGTGGGGCCTCCACGCAGCGAGCACCGCAGGGGCTTGTTTTTTGGCTGGCGAGGAAGTGAGTTGAGCGGGAGCTTCAGCCGGCGCCTTGGAGGGTGTGGTGGATTTGAACGACCCCTTGCATTTTTGCCACAGTCGCTTGAACAGCGAAGGGCGGCGCTCATCTCCCCTCTCGTTGGCAGCAGCGACACGGGAAGGCCTTGGCCGCGGGGGAGGTTCTTGGTAGTGTGGTGCGGGTTTGACGAGGGACAGGCCGATGAAGGCTGCGATGAGGCAAACGAGGCTCTGCAACATTTGTCAGCACAACGAGCAGAGTCGAAGAAGAAATACGCACCGAGAAGAAACCCGCGAGAGTACGAGGGAAGGCCTTTGCCTTCATCACAAGTGTCACCGTCTCCTTGTTTGAGGAGAACGACTCGGCGACGCTGGTCACGGATGATCGCCGACTGCGAGGCAATGTCGAGCTTGCTTCAGAAGAAACACTAGAAGCGGCCGACGACCTGCGAGAGCGTTTTTGTTTCGGCACAGAACCCTCGACAGCGAGTGGTGAAACCTCCTCGACCGGAGTTGTCGCCTCCTTGTAGTCGGGAATAGCGAACTCGGGCGGCGCCGCAAAGTCCTCTGGCTCTTCACCAGATTGCTTGCGACGACGGATATGGTCGACGCCAGCATGTGACAGACGCCGAAGTCGTTTGGGAGTGTGGCGAATGGTAGCCAGCATCTCGGGGACAAACGGTGCCGGAGTCGGAACGGAAGGCAAGGACGTTTTAAAGTCGCAGTGCTTCGCAGCAAGACGGGCGGTCTCGACGGGCGAACGGGTTTCGAATGTGAAAGACATGGTAGTTTGTGGTTGTGGTTTGGAGTTGAGAACGGTTAGCGGGAAGGCCACGCTTTTATAATCGAGTGTCGTTGGATGTCTTAGACCACCCGCTGTCTTACCCAACGGAGCGGATGGACGGAGTGCTCCACGCTACCCCAGATCGTCCCGCTTCGGAGGTCTTACGCTCCAGCCTCCGGTCGTACGCGGATGAGGTGTAGAATGGTGGGTAACCACAACGTTGAAGGTGGAACTTGAGGAGATTTCTTGCGGGGCCCCACGCGCCGCATAGGGAGCTTTAGACTCCGCGGATACCAAGTCCATGGCGGCGAAAAAGAGCCAGACACCATGATGGTCGTTCGAAACCAAGCCGTGTTGCTGACATCAGCCGAGTCACGCAACACGTTCCTTTTCTTCCCGACCGCGACGGCCACAATTTTCGTGTCTTTGTGGACTGCATGCGCAACTCTGACTCTGGGGCGAGGTGCCCGGTGGGGGGATGCGAGACATGACGTCAAGGCAAGACTCGGACTTGAACTCGACCTGGGGAAGAAACTCTGTGCAGCGGAAGCAGAATGTCTTACCGACAAGGCATGACGTCAAGGAAAGACCTGTGCGACGGAAGCAAGTCAAACCGGTGCAGCGGAGGCAAAATGTCTTACTTTGCTTGGGTATAAAACCCTCCCTGGCTCGTTGGACTCTCCAGCTACATCGCTCTTGCATTCGCACCACTACCGTCTACCAAACCACACTTTAACCAACCAACCATGTCGAGCACCACCACTCCCGCTGCTTTCGACAACAGCTCCGTCTCCTGTTCATCGAGCGAGCAAACAACTTCCACTCTCACTCTCCGGGAGCGCCGGGGCTTCAATCTCTATTTATCATTTGCCCCCGCGTTCCCCAAGATCGAGCCAAAAGGCCAGCTTGGACCCACCCACGCCAACCTCCCTCGCCGTCGCAAGCGGAGCAGCGTTGTCTCAGTCGAGGCGTCCTCATCAAGGGCGGCTGCTCCCGCTGCTGAAATCACAGCATACTTCTCGTAGGCGGCAGGGATTTGGAGAGAAACAGAACGGGTGAGCAGTTGGCGTTGTTGCGCATTGAGGGACATTGTGCCCTTTAAGCTGCCAGGGCAGGACGAGCAAACGCACTATCATGAACCATTAACAATAAACGTTGTACTAGTATGCTAGTCCTGCCTAACCATTGTTCATTGCTTCATGAATCATTGATCGTACTCGAATATGACTGAAGTCTAGTCGTTCCATTCTGACGCTTTCGTTTCATCGTTTCATGAGATTTCATGCTGACCTACTACTTAAACCGTTTTCCTTGCCAGTGTGTTGTGCTGCAGTTAAGATTTTAAGTTACCGCCACTCCTAGAAGTTCCTCGGGAAGTGTTGCTATACTGACATACTACACTGCTTTCCTGTTGCGCTACAGATCCTCGAAGTGAGTGCGCGGCGACGGCTGCAACATCGCGACGTCACGCATCACATGACCATGACGCTTCGTGAAAAACGACTAGGCGTGTCGGCGCAGAACTCGATTAACCCGCGTGTTAGTCCGGCGGCTCGCGAGATAGCACAGTAGGGTCACGGTAGGTAGGACAAGGACAGTAAACTGAATGATTCGTCAGTGGACAATGAATGTCCCACAACGGATGGGGACGCGCACCTTTCCTTCCATCCATAACGACTCTCCTACCCCACCGTTGACGCCGTCAAGCTGCGCAGAAGGGACATTGACTGGTAAGCACCCAGACACCAGCGGTCAGAGTCAGCAAATGCTTCCTCTATGTTGGGGCGCGGTCGCTGACGCATCTGAGGAGTGAGTAACTGTGAGTTGGGCCGGTTTCAAGGATCAATCAAGGCCACACTCACCGGGTATCCAAGCCAGAGCAAACTGCAAATGCACAAAGTAAGAGAGTAGCAATGAACGAGAAAAAAAAGGGTGCTTACTTGGGTCGGACGGGTGCAGTTTCTCGGGAGAGATAGCGGAGTCTAAGCGGACTCGACGGCTCTTGCCGCTACAAACGACGGACAGTAGGTCAAATCACGACGTCGACACGGGCATACTCACCCTAATTATAAGTGCACAAGTTCTTGCTCATTTGGCCTAACGTCGATGAACAGCTCAGAAAAGCATCAGGGAGGAAGAGGGCACAGCTTCAAACAAGGTAAGATAGTGCGGCTATGAGAAAGATATACTAGTAGTGCTTACTCTTCTCGTCGAGGAAAGATGCTGCATGAGGCGGCAGGGCAACGCGCGCCGCGCAGGAGAGAAGGAAGCTGGCGATCCACAAGTAAGACTACGAGTGCGGCCTGAGTGTCCGTTAGTTTGTTCTTGCTCATTGGGTCCAGGCCGGAAAACGCGCGCCATGTTGATGTTGGAGAGAGAAGAAGTCCGATCGATCATGATCACACTGGCACGTGCCCGTTGACAGCGGGCTTTTGCTCAACCACCCGCCCGGCACCCGCCACGGTTCCCAGTCGCATCGAGTTCAGAGGCCATCTCTCGCGCTCGTAAGGGAGATTCTTCGCGCTGCCACAAATGACAGGCGAAAGAGTCGACATCTAGTAGTGGAACTCCTCCAAGTCGGGTCAAAATCGTTATATAACAAGGTCAGCCTCACAAAAAAGACTATATGAGCCGCCAAGAACGCTTACCTTGACGAAGAGAACGCCGGCTCTGCTTCGACTACGATCTCCAAGTCGACTGCCAAGGCGAAGACGGGCTTCAAGTTGTCCGCGAACGGAAGCCTCGACATGAAGTCACGGACTCATGGTAGGACAGTACCAGAGTTTGAAATGCGTCAGCTTCGCACAAAGGGCGATGCACGAAAGCAAACCGTTGAAGTCGTCTCTAGTATCCGCGACCTTTCACCTGTGTCAAACCGCCAGTACGTACTGTACAATCGGCAACGAGGATTAGCAATGGCGATGAAGAAGGAGAGATACTTAGTTCGGATTCAGCCCCGTCGTTGTCAATACGCCCAAGCGCCAATCGCACCGCGGCACTATTCTCGTCAAGGATATTGCTATCTTCCTCGCAACATACGAACAACTTGAACTCCGCCAGAGCCGGGTTCAAGCCGTCCGCAAACCTGCTTTTTGCCGTCACCCCTCAGGTGCAAAAAAATGGGGAGAGTCTTTGGTTTTGTACGATGCGAAGGTGAGTGCTGCCGGCGTTCCAGTTCAACCACATTAACGCCATGGCTGTTGTAGGAGGCTATGGATGAGTGGTTCAAATTGTCCCGGATGCTTCACTTTGAAATCAAGAATCGTAGCGGCGATGGCGATGCCACAGGTGGAAACGATGTTGAATGCTTAACTCGAACTGCTAGTGTTTCGATCCAAGAAGTGATAAATAAATGATTGGATACCTTTGCTACATAGCTACACAGTTAAGGACAGATAAGAATACGGACTCAGAGTATGTACAAATACTAGGGACGCCGGGAGTCACGGCGATGATTCTGCACACTGGCAAGAATTGTACCGTTGACACAAGGGAAATTCAACAGTTGTTGCCCTTGCAGAATGGCTTCGAAGAGCCTTTTTTGTTCCTGTCAGTGCAAATTACAACGGCAAGTAGAATGTCAAGAGTGCACACACGTGGTTTGAGGTTTCCGGATTTGCAGTTGGTCCCCCATAAAATCAATGTGCCAATAACCACGGCCAGGTCTCCCTGTAGTTTTCACCAAGTGAAAGATGGTGTACACGGAAAGAGTGTGGCGGATAGTGCTCTAGGTCAGTCATGAGCATGATGGACGGTGTCGGAGACTTGGAGTCAGATACTATATACCAACCTGCCATCGTTCAGGTTCAGACCGTCGATAAAAAACGAAGTGCTCCGTAAGAGCCTTGATGATGCCTTGGAGTGATAGCATGCGGAATGGACTTGAATTGATGGCCAAGGCCACCAGGATCCAGGTAGCCATCCCCGGACGCTCGCCAGTATCGGGAACGATGCTGAGATCTGGGAAAATTCCTTCGGGAAGAGCAAGACGGCGGCGGAGATGGGGCGAAGCATCTGGAAATGTGCCTACTACTAGTAGCGCTTGAAGGAACTCGCCATCAGCGAGGTCTGCCTGTGGTTGAGAAGGCTGGGCCGGCGTAGTTGGAGAGCTGCTAGCAACAGCCTGAGTAGCGACTTGAACGTCGGGCACAGAATATTCCTTCAACTATCGACCTTGTGAGTGAACTAAGACTTGGCCAATTGCCTCAACTCACATATTCAGCCCCAGAAGTTTCCCGGGGTGGAACAAAGTCGGATCCTTCACACTGGCAGTCATTGAAGATGGCACGTGGATCAATGTAAAGCGGTGGACTCGGACAGCCTGAAGCTTCTTGGGTAGTAGTGCACCTTCAAGTATGACAGAGTCTCTCATTGCGGCTAAGCGTGGTTATCTAACGTACCTTGAGTTCCCAGATAGTATAGTATCAGATGCCAGTGAGGATAGAACGGTCTCTACGCAGAGCACGTTGCCATCCTCTGAGTCAGGCTGGAAGCTCGCCGGCGGAACCAGATCCTGTTCGGAAACCCGTGCGAAATCATGGGGGAAATCGTTACTTGCCTGGGTGTTGAGGTCGCAAAGTTCTTGCTGTAAGTAATCTTCGAACGTGACTTCTTCAGAACTGAGACTGGAGATCATGATGTCGACGTTGTTCTTTAAGTTTTGGCGGAGTCGAATGACGAGGGTAGGAGGCAACAAAGAGTCATTTGTGGACTCTTTACGTGATTAGTGGACTTGCGGGATCGAAATGCCATCCTTATCATGACGGTTGACCGACGCCTTCCATTAACATTACCCTTCAAATTCCGAAACCAGTGGCCCGTGTGTCTCACTGCTACGGGCCTGCGGCGCGATCCCGTTGGCAGGCCAGCGTGTGGTGGGGCCCGGCAGCCCCGGCTTTTCCAGAGCAACTTGTCAAATACGACTTGCGCTGCAGGTACCGGTCCTCGAAGTGGGTGCGCGATGGTGGAGAGGACTAGGCGCGGAGGAGTAGTGGGGTACCGGCAGAAGGGTGGGCAATGTGCATGATGGGTCCGACGCGTTTGGGGGCGCGAGATACGGTCAAGAAGAGGTCAGTAATGTGACTAATACATCCCGCTATGGAAAGTGCCCAGACATAGCACAGCCACGGTGATGATAGTGCCTGTCCGCACGTGCATGCAAAAGGCAGCGGCCGCGTTGTTGTCTGGGAGCTTGTGTAAGCACAGGAAGCTAGTGGTGAGAAGGCGGTGGTGGGAAATGGGAAGGTTAAGTCCGTGCAGTCCGCCCCTGTCCTTTCGCAAGGCTCAATCATTTTGGTTGCTCGCAATTGTTGAACAAACATATTCATTGCGTTTTAGATAGAAATAGAGGTAACACAAAAGTGGTATGTGGACTTCTCGACGTAGTTGTAAAGCAAATCAAGAGAGAATTCCGAAGTGGTGGGTACGAATTTAAGATTGTCGGCCACACGCTGAACACACGATGGCTGGTGCGGGGTGCGCTGCCTCAGGCTGCTGTTCAGGTTGCTGTTGTTGTTTTCGCAGCTTGCGCGTGGAGAGAAATTTCGAGACAAGGGTTATGTGCCGTCTCCACTGGCAAGCAGGAAGTTTCATGTGTTGTTTCAACGCGGCAAACACCACAGGGGCTGGTTGTTTGGCTGGCGAGGAAGCGGGGTGAGCGGGGGCTTTAGCCACATTGGAGGGTGTGATTGATTTTAACGATCCCTTGCATTTGTGCCAGAGTCGCTTGAACAGCGAAGGGCGGCGATCGTCTCCATTCTGGTTGGCAGCAGCAACCCGCGCAGGCTTTGGGCGTGGGGGAGGTTCTTGGTAGTCTGGCGCGGGTCCGACAAGGGACAGGCCGATGAAGGCCGCGATGAGACAAACAAAACTCTGCAACATTTGTCAGTACAACAACCAGAGTCAAAAAAGAAATACCCACCGAGAAGAAACCCCAGATCGTTGAAGGGAAGGCCTTGACCTTCATCACAAGCGTCACCGTCTCCTTGTTTGAGGAGAACGACTCGGCGACACTGGTCACGGATGATCGCCGCCTGCGAGGCAGCGTCGAGCTCGCTTCGGAAGAGACACTCGAAGCGACTGAGGACTTGCGAGAGCGGTTGGGCTTTGGCATGGAGCCCTCGACATCGAGTGGCGAAACCTCCTCGACCGGAGTCTGAGTTGTCGACTCCTTATAGTCAGGAATAGTGAACTCGGGCGGTGCAGCAAAGTCCTCTGGCTCTTGACCAGATTGCTTGCGACGACGGATATGGTCGACGCCGGCATGAGATAGACGCCGAATGCGCTTGGGAGTGTGGCGAATGGTAGCCAACATCTCGGGGACGGACGGCACAGGAGACGGAACGGAAGGCAGCGATGTTTTAAAGTCGCAATGCTTTGCAGCAAGACGGGCGGTCTCGACGGGCGAACGGGTTTCGAATGTGAACGACATAGTAGTTTGTGGTTGTGGTTTGTAGTTGAGAACGAATTAGCGAGAAGGCCAGGCTTTTATACTCGAGCGCCGCTAGATGTCTTAGACCACCCGCTGTCTTGCCCAACGGAGCGGATGGCGGAGGGCCCCATGCTACCCCAGACAGTCTCGCGTGCCATGCTTCCGGCGCGGATGAGAATGGGTAACCAAGAGTTCGGAGTTGTGTTTTTGTCTGAATGCCCGCGCGATATCCTTGGTGGTCCAGAAGTAGCAGATGATGGTCGTTGAACAAGACGAAAGCCAGCCACAGCTCAGCAATCGGGCCGCCAGGCTTTTCAACACGACCAAGTCTTTTGGCCCTTCGAATTCCGAATCCGAGAACGGGCCGAGGTACGGAGGCGCTAGACATGACGTCAACTTGAATCTGCGACGACGGAAGCAACTCAGACCTGTGCAGCCGAAGCAAAAGTGTCTCGCTTCACTTGCTGGGGAGACAAGACAGTGTGGGGCCTCTTTTTACGGGGTAGTAGTTGGCTTGGAGAAGAGCAACCCATCCGCCATGATGGTGGTTGGAAACCAAGCCGTGTTGATGACATCAGCCGATATCAGTCACGAGAAAACGTCATCTGCAGCCTTTTCTTCCCGCGACCGCGACTTTCAAATTTTCGCGTCTTTGTAGACTGTATGCGCGACTCTAACTCGTGGGCCGAAGTGCCCGATGGGGGATGCGAGACATGACGTCAAGGCAAGACCAAGCAAGTCAAACCAGTGTAGCGGAAGTAAAATGTCTCACTTTGCTTGGGTATAAAACCCTCCCTGGCTCGTCGAACTCTCCAGCTAAATCGCTCTTGCATTCGCACCACTACCATCCACCAAACCACACTTTAACCAACACACCATGTCGAGCACTACCATTCCCGCTGCTTTCGACAACAGCTCCGTCTCCTGTTCATCGAGCGAGCAATCACAAACCACCCTTACTCTCCGGGAGCGCCGGGGCTTCAACCTCTACCTCTCATTCGCCCCCGCATTCCCCAAGATCGAGCCAAAAGGCCAGCTTGGACCCACCCACGCCAACCTTCCTCGCCGTCGCAAGCGGAGCAGCGTTGTCTCAGTCGCGGCGTCCTCATCAAGGGCCGCTGCTCCCGCTGCTGAAATCACAGCATACTTCTCGTAGGCGGCAGGCGTTTTGTGGGGGGAGGAGAAAGTTTCCATGTTAGCACTTGACGTGGTCGCGCGCTTGAGGGACATTGTGCCCTTTGCGCTAGAGGGGCAGGACGAGCCAACGTACTACCATAAAAACCGTAAACCACGAATGTTGTATGCTAGTCCTACCCATCTTGAACAATGTGCCTTGCTTTATGTTTCTCTCACCTTTGTTTGTGCAAATTCTGAGTAACCTCCCTTTGGCGGCGGTAGCGTCGAATAGTGTTCAAGAAAATTCGAGGTACAGGAGAGCAAAATGATAATTTACAGATGCCAATGTGTCTACAAATGCTTTTCCAATTGTCAATCATCTCCACGTATCGTTAAGCACTAGTTGGCCAAATCAGTTTTTGCTGCACTCAAAGTCGACTAGACACATACCCAGTGTCCCATTTGCGGGCGAAGAAGCCGAGTTGTTTGGATCCGACTCCCAGGATGTGAGCACACCGTTCATCTTGCGGATGTACTTGTACTCGAAACGAGTCGACGCAGGCAAAGTCAGAGTAACTTGAAACAATCAGCGCTGCCAAGAGAAAGACATTAATAACTGACTACTCCATGTAGGGTAGTTGGCGGGAGACAGAATGAGGGCATTGTCCGGGCTCCAGTTCTGCAGGGCACCGATTGAGCCAGTAATGTAGATGTTCTCCCCAAATACGGTAGTCGCAACGACATTGAAGGTCACGCTAACGGTTGGCGGTGGCTTGCAGACTAGTCCATTGGCACCCCAGCTGGCGGGCGAGACACCAGCGCGTGCCGAAAACGCTGTCAGAGCGGCTGCATACGACCACGTGAGATCAGCGGCAGATAACGGTGCCTGTTCCAAGATTAGATTTGATAAAGATTAGATTGAATAATAGACGAACACCAGTGGCTCTGTTAAACTGTTCAGCCAGCGCGCCGTTTGCTGGCGTATATTTGGCATGAATGGCCAGGGTGTCGTCAGCGAATGTCTTAATGGCTGCTGTGAGTGTCGTAAATGTTGAGGTTGCGGAGGCGTAAGTGCCGACAGCGACTGAAGATAGGAATTGGCGGAAGAAAGGCAGGGAGATTGATGTGACTTGGAGCGACGCCTGGGATTTCCAAACAATGAGGGCGTCGTAGAGCTGCTCAGCAACGACAGCTGTTGTCAAGTACCATGGCTTTTGCCCGTCAGTTTGGTCAAACCAGGAATCAAGCCACTCACGTTGCCTCCAAAGTAGACATCTTCTGGATACCTTCCTGTCGCAACGGCCGCATTCGACGCAATGCCTTGGTTGATAGCATAAATTGAACGGAATGAATCAACGTAAACCTTGAGGCTGGACAGGGCTTTGTCGGAACAGGGCTGGAAAGTTGCCGCATCACATCCGGCGGCGGGATCAAAGGTATGGATCGATGCCAGAGCCGTGTTGGCATCCTTTCCGGACCGGCTACCACCAGTGTTGGCGGTAATGTAGCCGCCGGTGGGATTCCAGTATGACTGCAGGAAGCAAAGTGCGTTGTTCGCTTGCGTGGTATATGCTGACCCATCCTGACCCAGTGCGCTCGCCAGAGCGGCACCTTCACGAAGAGACCGATGCTGGACGGCGGTTGTGAAAAAGGAAGATGACGATACTTCCTCCCAAAGATCAAACTGTGAATAGAGTTAGTTTTAATAGTTTTCGGAAAGGACACGCACCCCAGTCGAGTTCCAACTCGCCACAACATAGTCAAGATCGAGTTTGATAGTTGGCCAAAGAGTTTGAACTACGTTCGCCGTGCTTGTATTTGCGCGGAGCCAGTTCGCATAGGCTATCAACGCCGTTGAACGGAGTGCTGGCCCATCTACGAGCAGAGGGTGAATTATTTCAAGTTGAAAGCAAGGGAGATACCTCGTTGGGGTCTTCCCCAAGAATCCGTGAAAGCGGTCAGGTCGATGTTGAACTAGAACGTATTGATTATTGCAGTTTTCGTTCTTCCATCTGGTGGATGACATACCTTAGGCTCGCCCAATCCACCTGTGGTTACCGTCCCACTTGGATTCGACACCTGTTGAAGTGTCTTCTCTGCCGCCACGAAGTTTTGAATTTGGCCCAAAAGACTTTTATCTTGTCCGCTTGTGAACTGGTCGATGATGACCTTGAAGACGAGCGAGGAGTCGCGGACCCAGGTATACAAGTAGTTGGGGTTCACCGTGCTAGGACTAGCGATGACGACACCAGCCTAAAAACAAGACAGATGAGTGTCTTGCACCGAAATATTCACACAGCGACACACCTTCGCACCCGCCGATTTCGCGCCATTCGGCCCAATATTGGCTAACAATCCCGCCTTCGCAATGGGTGACTCTGTTGCGACATATGCGTCGACAGAAGCTGAGGAGGCCGCGAATGCCGTTCCGCAAAGGGCCAGTGCTGAAGCGAGGAGGACCCGCATTCTGGAGGGTTAGTGACTGGACTTGGTGCAAGTGGAACAACATACTGCCTTCCTTATATACTTCTGCCATGGTCCAAGACCGTGAATGCGGGGATGTGATCTCCACATGCGAGAATGTCGAGTAGCACAAGGAGTAGCAGCGTGGTTGGTTGTTCTCGTGACCACGGGGACGATCTTTGCAAGATGCCGGCGACGAAAGAATCCTGCACTACGTCTAGCACATTATTCTGCCCAGCACATTATTCTCCCGACTTTGAGCCGCGGCAAACGAGTAAAATAGGCCTCACTGTTATTGAGCTACAAATCATAGAGCGGGCGTTCAAAACTTGAAAAGGTCCAACTGGCCGCAACGATGGTGGAATCTGTTCAAGTTAACTTTCACACGCTTGTTGCTGTCGATATCATGATGTCATCCGAAATGAAAATGATCGCGGTGTGCGCAAGGGTGTGAGGGCGCTTGGCGGGCGTCAGGTACTTATGATAACTCTCAAGACTTGGCCCCGTCAACAGACTGACAATACACAAGGACTCAGAGAGCGGTCAGGCTGATTTGTGAGATAAAGCAACACGAAACTGGTTCACTCCACAGACGTTAAATGGAATCGAACGAAGAGTACTTTCAGATCCTCATTGCGGGTACAAATGATGGAAGTTCACCACTCGGCACAGTTGGGCTTAGGTATATGCGGCTCAAGTTCAAGTTGGAGCATAATGAAGATGCTCGAAATTGTTGGGCAGGACTAACTTAGCATACAGCGTTTATGATTTATAGTAGTACGTTTGCTCGTCCTGCCCCTTGAGCGCGAAGGGCACAATGTCCCTCAAGCGCGCAACCACGTCAAGTGCTAACGTGGAAACTTTCTCCTCCCCCACCAAACGCCTGCCGTCTATGAGAAGTATGCTGTGTTTTCAGTGGCGGGAGCAGCGGCCTTTGATGAGGGCATCTCGACTGAGACAACGCTGCTCCGCTTGCGACGGCGAGGAAGGTTGGCGTGGGTGGGTCCAAGCTGGCCTTTTGGCTCGATCTTGGGGAATGCGGGGGCGAATGAGAGGTAGAGGTTGAAGCCCCGGCGCTCCCGGAGAGTAAGAGTGGAAGTTGTTTTCTCGCTCGATGAACAGGAGACGGAGCTGTTGTCGAAAGCAGCGGGAATGATAGTGCTCGTATAAAAGCATTTTTCGTTGTTTACTACTGGTCGAGGTTTGGACATGTTTTCAGTGGTTTTAATCAGTGGTTTTGCGATCAAAAAGTGGTTTTGGACAGTGGTTTCACCTAGTTGGGAGGTTCTGTGACACATTGATCTGGTGGTGCAAAAAATAAGTGAACTTGAGTTTGAGTTTTGAGCTTGGAGTTTAAGTGTGAAATACTGTCCTTGCATTATTTTATGTTCAAAATAGGCAATGGCATAACTTGTGCAATTGGGATAACAAAAATATTTTTAGAAAACAAGATTTGCTCAATTGTTCAGAATTTCCTTTTATAGGCATGTTCATTAAATGGTAACTGCAGAAACAACTTAAGCTTAATCATTTATTATATCATGTAACACAAGTCACACTAACCACACCTCCCAGTCTCAGACTTATAATTAAGCCTAGTTATTGCATATATGAGTCTACCATACCCTCTAGTGCTCAAAAGTTTTAAAAAATTGGATCCAAGATGTAGCCAAGTTAGAGAACAAAAGTGTGACTCTCATCATCATCAGAGTCACACCTCCCCCAAACTTCCCAGCCTCACACTTATAGTTAAGCCTAGTTATTGCACATATGAGTCTACTGTACCTTCTAGTGCTCAAAAGTTTCAAAAAATTGGATCCAAGATGCTTTCATTATAATCAAGAAAATATTCAGTTAACTAATAAGATAGACCTTGATCAGACAGTCCTTGATTTGACCAAAGATATTGTTAGACACCAAAATGAATATCTACATATTATGAGAGCGAAGAACACGTAATCTAGGCCCAGTAACTAGCTCTGTTGACTAGCCTATAATCATCTTGTTAGCACTAATGCGTTGCTTTTTCTCGCCAGTAAGCTTTCCTGGGCCGGCAAGCTGTACAAGATCAGATTTGAATCGCTTTGCTGCCCGCTCGTAACCAGCTGCGTAGGCATTTTTGTTCTCCTTTGCCCGCTTGGTCCCTGTTTGCAGTTTGACTCCGCTCTCAGCTCTATCCTCTCGCTCTTTAGGAATTCGAGGGTCTCCATGACACACAGCAAGCCTATTTAAATCAATACTCTATACCAAAGTAAAGGCAGCACATACCGAAACTTCCCAAAACCATAGTGAATCCAATGACGATTACCACAATACTCAAGCGGACCAATTGCGACATGTCGAGTCTTGCCAACACGTTTCGAAAACAGGGCTTCTTTTTTTCGCTTCCTCATTAAATTGAGTTATTTTGTGTTTTCTAGAGAATGGTCATTTGGAATGGAAAGAAAATGAAATGGAAAGTAACACAGTAACACTCACTGTAATGCCGGAGGGAAGTTGTTCAATGGGGTCCAAATGCGCTTCCCAGCACCTGCGGAATATGCGAAAGTGGGGAGAACAGCCACGTCAAGCTCGGAACTGGGTAGGAAAAGTGGCTCGAAGGTTGGTTTCAGTTTTGTAGGTTTTGAGAGTAGTTCTATAAGATATTAGGACTGAACTACAACAGTAAGTTGTTGTTCCGAAGGACGGTGATGATGAGGAAGCTGAGGCCAGTGTGGGCGCAGTAGCCACAGTTGGGGAAGGAGTGGATGAGAAGGAAACAGGTATGGTGGTGGTGGTGGTCCGATATGCTGCAATGGGTGGTGGTGCAATAGGTGGCGCATTTGACGTTGTTGCCACTCCAGAAACTTCAAATAATGGTTGTGATGGGGTATTAGCAGCCAGAGTAGGTGCAGATTGAGTATTATTTGCTGCAGCCTCGAATTGTAGAAAGCGCAGATAGCGCTGGTACGCTTCAGGGTCAGCCATCACTGCTCACAAGGTGGATGGAGAGTGTGTAAAAGCAAAGGAATGGTGGAACAACTATAATAAGTCAGCATTAGAATGGTAGCCTATTTCTTAGCTTACAAGAGTGGATGTTAGACTTGGTGCAATGCGACGCAGTGAACGAACGACTTGAACAAACGAGAGCCAATGTCACGTGTGACATGTGACCGTGTCATCGTCTCAAAGTCTATTGAAAGGCCTTGTTGTGCCAAAACGAACTAAACACTAAACTCAGTAACTCAGTAATAATAGGAAAAGCATTTTGGAGGATAGTACTGAAGAAAATAATGGCAGGCTTTGGGGGCAAAAGTTTGGCAAAATACTTGGTGTTGTGGGCAGGCAAAAGAAGAAAAATAAAAATTCCCAAAAAGGAAGGAGGAAGGAAAAGAAAAGAGAGGGATTTGAATAGATCTCTGTACTGTATTCCTACTGTTTATACATGCAAAATGAGCCTTCCTCAAGTGTAAATTTCTCTGAGCGGCGCCTGCGGCGGGCAGTTTGGTGTGTGACACATCTCGTGTGAGGCATCACAGAATACTGTCAAAAATTTCCATTTTCGAATATTTTTGCCGCGCGGCACCTGTTGATGGCAAATACTGAATCCAAATCGGGTTTTTTTCCGGCCGGCTGTTTCACGGTCCGGCCCGTCACGTCATGTGACACAGCTCATCAAATAACAGCGGGCAGCTCTGTGCGCCTAAGGAGATGGTAAGTGGTTGGGAGCATGGTCCAACAGTGTAGATGTAACAGACTCCCTACTCTCTAGACCAGATATTAAATTATTTGCTCCTAAATATATATTATTGTGTCTATTTCATTCTTTGTGTTGTTCCAGCAGCAGTTCCAGCAGTAAATAAATCATGGAGCAAGACAAGGTACATAGTACATCTATAGTATGTAAGCTAAGTCCAGCACAAAGCACCATTTGAATCAATTATTGTCTACAAAAGTATTGGGCAACGGCGCACTTGAACGCGGGCCTCCGAGAATCACGGAGGATCAAAACCCGTCCCAAAACGGATACTTGGTGATGTCAACGTCACACCGTCAGTATTACTGGCAGTATTTGCCCACAGAGTATTTAGCCAAAAAGTTTCCCAAAGAAGATTGATGAAGTTTCGTCACCATCATTCCGCGGCAAAACCACTAACCAACAGGACACACAACCACATCAAGATCACAAGCTCTAGTATACCGAAGGTCAAGCTAGTTTACAACGATAAATGCTGTCATATGCTCGACATGGTGTGTTGGTTAAAGTGTGGTTTGGTAGATGGTAGTGATGCGAATGCAAGAGCGATTTAGCTGGAGAGTCCAACGAACCGGGGAGGGTTTTATGCCCAAGCAAAGTAAGACATTTTACTTCCGCTACACTGTTTTGACTTGCTTCCGTCGCACAGGTCTTGCCTTGACGTCATGCCTTGTCGGTAAGACATCTTGCTTCCGCTGCACAGAGTTTCTTCCGTTGCCAGACCGTTGCCCCAAGTCAAGTTCAAGTCTTGCCTTGACGTCATGTCTCGCATCCCCCATCGGGCACTTCGGCCTACGAGTTAGAGTCGCGCATACGGTCTGCAAAGACGCGAAAATTTGAAAGTCGCGGTCGCGGGTCGGGAAGAAAAGGCTGCAGATGACGTTTGCTCGTGAGTGATATCGGCGGCTGATGTCATCAACCCGGCTTGGTTTCCAACCATCATGGTGGATGGGTTGCTTTTTCGCCACCAAGGACTCTTCAAGCCAACTTATACCCCGCGAAAAGACCCCACGCCGTCTTGTCTCCCCAACCACTCGCATCCTGAAGCGAGACACTTTTGCTCCGCAGAACAAGTCTCATGATCCGCTCTCGCCTTCAACTTGATGTTACTCTCGCGGTGTAATATACGACTTGCGCACAGATCCAGACCTACCACTGCTACCTCAAACGCAGACCAGAGTTTCTTCTGAATTCATGTCGGTTTGCTCAACCACATGCCGAGGTGCCCGACGAGGGAACGACGAGGTAAGGCAACTAGGATTCGCAAGATCTGAAACTCGAACCTGTGTAGCGGAGGCAAAAATGCCTATGACGTCGAGGCATGACACCAAGTGAAAACCTGACGGAAGCAAGTAAAACCTGTGTAGCGGTGGCGGCCCGGGAATGTCTTATCTTGCTTGGGTATAAAATCCCCCCCGGTTCGTTGGGGTCCCCAGCTAAATCGCTCTTGCATTCGCACCACTACCATCTACCAAACCACACTTTAACCAACACACCATGTCGAGCACTACCATTCCCGCTGCCTTCGACAACAGCTCCGTCTCCTGTTCATCGAGCGAGCAAACAACTTCCACCCTTACTCTCCGGGAGCGCAGGGGCTTCACCCTCTACTTATCATTCGCCCCCGCGTTTCCCAAGATCGAGCCAAAAGGCCAGCTTGGACCCACTCACGCCAACCTTCCTCGTCGTCGCAAGCGGAGCAGCGTTGTCTCAGTCGAGATGCCCTCATCAAAGGCCGCTGCTTCCGCCGCTGAAAACACAGCATACTTCTCGTAGATGGCAGGGGTTTGGTGGAGAGGAGAAAGTTACCACATCAGCAGTCGACGTGGTTGCGCGCCCAAGGGACATTGTACCCTCTGCGCTAAAAGGGCAGGACGAGCAAACGAACTACCATAAACTACAAATGTTGTACCTAGTTCTGCCCAACCATTGTTCGGTGCTTCGTGAAATATTGCTCATACTCCAGCATGATTTTAGAAGTCTAGCGATCAGCCAAATACTATTAATAGGTGCTCTCACCCGTTACAAAAGTGGCTCCTCCGACTTGCATAATAATATTCTGTCGAAAACATTGTGCCACAGTCCACGAATCTCCCTTTGAGACACTCTTTATAGATGGTACGAGTGCCGCTGCTACTGAAGCAGCCAGAGATAACAACTGCAAGGACTTCTTGTCTTCCACCGTCATGAAAGTCACGATCAAGCATTGGCACGCTGTCGCCCAATGGCGCTGGGACACCGGCGCAGACGATTCAGCGTCGAATGAGGAGGAGGACGTGTGTGGCATCTGTCGCGTTGCGTATGAGGGCTGCTGCCCAGCGTGCAAAGTACCCGGAGATGATTGTCCACTCAGTGCGTCACGAACCTCGTTTACCTCCAACCTGAGCTTACGAAAAGCAGTCTGGGGCCAGTGCTCGCATGTCTTCCATATGCATTGTCTGCTCAAGTGGCTCGGGACGCCGGCCTCGAAGCAACAGTGTCCGATGGATAGAAGGGCTTGGGGTGCGTCTTTGGTTCCCAAATTACTCGACTCTTATACTTTTTACAGTAACTGCGGAGCGCAAACTCGTTGTTTAATGACCCAAGTCCACAAACTTTGGACTGTCTCACCATGAGTGTATCGAACATGCTCAGGCTATCGCATCTCAAAATTTCTGTGAATCAGACGACGACCTTTCTTCGTATCAAATAGCCTGCCATGAAATTTCTGCTAAACCGCTACACCGTTTTCCTTTCGAGTCCTCGACGACATCAAATCAAATATACATACTTAGAACGTCCTTTTCTCCCTTGGAGTTACTTCTTCACACAAGCTGTTCAACGCCAGGCGGTAACTCGTAGCCACCCTGCTTGCGCACGGCATCGAACACGGTCATCGCCAGCAAACTCTTCGCGTGTCCCCACAAAGCGCTTTCCTTCTTTCCCTCCCTTATACACCGCGCGACTTCGTCTGCCTCGAACTGCATCCCATGCCCAATGTAGTCAAAGACCTTCTCTTCCTCTCGCACCACCTTGTTCTTCTCTTTCCCTGTTCCAAAATACTCCACCTGAAAGTTGAGCGTTAGTAGGAGATGAGATAGATTGGAAAATGTAGCGACCTTGTATGATTTTGGAACAAATATTGGGGCCGCAACCCGAATAGTGCCTTTCTCGCAGCGAATCGTGACCCCAGGGTTAGTCAGTGTTGATGCGTTGATGCTACAGCTGAGAACTGCCTGCGCGCCAATTTTGTCGAAATTGAGTGTGAAAGAGGTGTTGGCATCGACCCCCGTGATGGGTGTTTTGACGATACTGCCGGTGATGCTCGACGGACTGGAGAGCTCATTGGCCGGGTTTTCGTAGAGGGCCATGATTGCCTGTCCGTGTATATTGAGATAGATCAAATGAGTGGGGCAGAAGTAATACCCAAACGAGAGGATATGGTCCACTGCAAAAAAATGAGACGGAATATGATGAGAAAGTACCCACTCACAGATCCAAAATGGCACCTCCGCCCAAGGCAGGGTCTAAAATTCGATGCGTCTTTGGTATATCTACCTTCAGATCAGCATCTTATCACTTCCCAAATCTGAGAACACACCATGAAGCCCAAAGTCAGCGGACAAGTCCCCATGCACAACCACAGGCTTCCCAAGCTCTCCGCTCTCCAACAAACCCACGACCGCAAGCGAAAGCGGCTGAAATCTCGTCCACATTGCCTCCATGAAGAAAACACCGTGCTCTTTTGCGGCAGCCAACAGTCCTTTGAGCTCTGCGACATTAGAGGTTACTGGCTTCTCGCACAGAACGTGTTTCCCCGCTTTCATGGCATCAAGGGAGTTGGTATAGTGGAATGTGTGTGGGGTCCCAACATAAATGACGTCGACATCCTAAAATTTTCAATCCTAATACTTGGGAGAAAGAGTAGTGGCACACCTTATCGGCGTAGACTTCCTCGTAAGTTCCATACGCCTTGATCCCCTCATCGCCATGGGCATTTGCCGTGATGAAGGCATTCGCCTTGTCTACTGCCCCGTTTCGCGACCCAACTGCGACGACCTTGTGGACGATATCATCAATGTTGCGCCTAGAACGGCTTTCAAGGCAGAACTGGGAAGGAATAAAGCAAGTAGATTCACGTTTTGGGGTCGACGAGAAGATCCTATTTTGTGGTGAGTGAGCACTGTAGGGCAAGGCAGATTCAAGTTGTCTATACCTTGACGAATGTAGCCGACTACAAAAGATAGCATAAGCTTGAATATGTGGTGGTGGTGAAGAGACTCACGATACCGCCCGTCGAGATGATTCCCCAGCGCAAGATTGTCGTCATCGTGGTCGACTGCAAAGGTAAAAGACCCCGGGCCGGTATTGATGCGGTTCTCCGAAGTTGCTCTGTGCCAATGGCCAAGCCATTTCGAGAGCAGGTTTGTGGATTGAACCATTCGCTAGTGACCTACTCGAGATGAAGGACGTCGTTGACTCGAATTTTTTGTGACTGATCCATGCCAAACGGCTCTTGGAGACGACCATGTTGCTTTCCACCCTTTGCCACCCACTTACAAAGTTGCAATGCCGACGCCGCGGCCGTGCACAAGAAAGCGGGCCCGCGGATACTTATATCACTTACGCGGTCCTCGTCAACCATACGCTCTTGCTAATAATCGCCTTGCTTGAGCTCAACAGCCTCAACTTCCTCTGCAGCTTCAAATTCAACATGTTATATCAACCTCCCCCCCTCATAGGCTGATTTTTTTCAGTCTGACTGTGGGAGACAAGATACTTTTTAAAAACTACCCCTATCGCTCGGTATCGGAACTTTGCTCTTCAATCGACCTATTTCCTCAGCAGCTTGAAGTTCTTGTTGCCCAGTATTCCAACGTTCAGTTCTTTTGCGCTCAATCAGTAATGAAATGAGGAAACTCATCAATCTTCTGCGCAAACTGGAGTTTTCTCTGCGGCGCAGGCAGTCCCTTCGATCAACCCAAGACATCGAGATTCACTTTAAAAGACTGAGTCTCCCCGCCTGCCTCTGTCAACTTCAAGACGCAATCAGCCACTATGTCTTTCTCATCAACTGCGTCTGTCGAGACCGTCCGTCCCGTCAACAAACACTCCAAATCATCATTGCCTTGCCTTCGAGCTCCTTTGCCATTTGTGCCCGAGATGTTGGCTATCATCCGCCATACGCCCAAACACATCCGGCGCTTCTCCGGCGTTGACCACATTCGTCGTCCCCGCAAGGTTTTGGAGGCAATTGTTGACGAGCCAGAGGACTTTGAAGCACCACCCGTGTTCACTCTCCCTGACTACACCGAACCCACAACTCGGCCTCCGGTGGAGGAAGTCTCGCCGCTCACTGTGCAGGACGATGCTCTTCGCTCTGTACCGGCAAACAACTTACGGTCTCGCAAGCCGTCAGTTGCCTCAAGTCTTTCGACCGAAACTTCTACAGTACGCTGTCGCAGACAATCTTCTGTGACCAGTGTTGCAGAGTCCTTCTCCTCCAACGAAGATAAAGTCACTCTCGTCATGAAGGCTCAAGCTTTCCCTTCGACTATCACGGGTCTATTTTCGGTGGGTATTTTTCCTTTAAGTTTTCTCATTGGGCTGAACAACGTCATAGAGTCTTGCTTGCATCTTCGCCGCATGTCTCGGATTGTCTTTTGTCGGGCCCGCTCAAAACCAACGATCCCCTCCTTTGAGTCCCAATCGCAAGGCTGCCGCTGTTGCCGAACAGGGTAAGCACCATCGTCTTTTCTTATTAATCCGCTGAGATCTGACAACTACGTATAACAGAGGAATACGAGCGTCATCTCCCTCGTCCTTCGCTATTCAAGCGATTCGTACGAAAATGCAAGGGCTCGTTCAAACCCACCACATCAACCACGTCGTCCCGTGCAGTCGAAGCTCCCGTCCAATCTTCTCGCTCAGCAGTCAAGCGGCGCACCCCCGTCTGGAGACGTAATATGAAACTTGTGTCCAAGTTCTTCTCCAAGCTGAAGCAGCAACGCGTTGTGGAGCAGATTTAGCATGCGGAGCAGGGTTATGGCAAACACTTGACCGGACTTGATTCGTTGTTGTGCACAAAGTTCGCATATCCACTTTTCTGTTACCATCAATTTCAACCTTGAATTCAAACAACTTAAAGCGTTCTATCCTGTTGTGAATGTCTGCATAGTTGAATTGTCGCTAGATGAGATTGGGTTGAGAAAATCGAGCGTCTCCTATCTTTGGTGGCGGTGCACGTCAACTTTTTTTCGTCCTCTCGCCATACATCCACAATGAGCAGCCCATTGTCACTCACCATTCTCTGCGTAAAAGCCTTCCGAGTGTAACCCACATGATTTTAGATGGCAGGTCTGCATCTATGGCTTCCAATGGAGCTTCCGACGCATTCCGATCCATTTCAGACAATGTTGCGTCACTTATAAGACGACCTCCCGCGACAACACACTCTATTCACCATGTCTTGCGCTTCTACATCGTCCGTTGCAACCATTCGCCCTGTTGCCAAGCGCTCCGAGTCTTCTGAGTCGGCTTGTTCGCTTCGGGCTCCCTTACCGTATGTGCCCGAGATGCTAGCGACACTTCGGCCTTCTCCAAAGTATTGCCGTCGTCTCTCTGGTGTGGACCTCGTCCATCATCGATACAAGTGCTCAGAGCCAGAGGACTTGGAGGCGCCGCCGGTTTTCATCACTCCCAATTACGAGGAGGCAACCACCCGGCCCCCAGCTGACGAAATTTCGCCGCTAACTGTGCCAGATCCCGCCCCTCGTCGAGCGGCTTCTGTCCCGCTAAACATGAGCTATAGTTTCAAAAATCGCAGGGTTTCTGTGGCTTCGGATTCAAGCATCTCATCTGAAGCCAGCTCCAAGTTGCACCGTCGTCGTCGACGGTCATCAGCAACAAGTGTCGAATCCTTTTCCTCCAACGAGGACAGAGTGACCTTGAAACTCAAGGTCCAAGCGTTCCCTTCGACGATGTTGGGGATTTTCACGGTGTGTCTCGTACCATTTTTGGCTCTGTTCATTAGCTGATTGATTACCACAGAGTGTTGCTTGCATAGCAGCAACATACCTCGGTGTATCGGTGGCTGCTACAGCCCCGGTGCAATCACCTCCCCCCAGACCGTCTTCACGACGGTCTTCTACGAGGCGAAGTCAGTCCACCGTCACAGAGAGAAGAAGGTCGTCGATCGAGACAATCACTACCGTTAGCGCTGCTGCGAGAGTTGCTGAGCAAGGTACGTGTATCTTATTGCCTGGAGCGGCAACCGACCACTTGAGCAGAGGAATACCAGCGCCATCTTCCCCGCCCCTCAAGACTCAAACGTTGCCTGCGCAAATTCAAGCGTCCCTTTGCGCATATCACCGTTTCTCCCACCACCTCCTCCCGCGCGATTGATGTTCCTGTCCAACCAACCAATGAAGCAGAAGGTTTGGTGGTTCCGCGGCGTCCTACGTGGAAAGCTCGGATTTCCAAGCTGTTCTCTCGACGAAACCGGAAGCAGTAGTAGGAAAAGTATTCATTATCATGATATGAAGCCCCTCCCACCCGCCCTTTACTACTCTAGCGTACACTCCTTATACCAGTCTTTTTTTTAAAAAAATACTACTTTAGTTGCGAATCAGCGATAACAGGGACTAGTACTTAGATGGTTGTTGTTACACGGTAATAATGCCTTCCCTCAAGCAAGCACAAGACAACATGGAAGCAACACTTGTCATCGTCGTCGCTATACAAGCCGTAGTTGACCGCAAGCACTTTCATCATAAACTGTACCGCATAAGTAAACACTTTCATGCTCGCCGGGGCCATCCAGTGCTGCGCTAAACGATCGAGCTAATTTCACACTCGATGAGCGGATCTGGAGGGTATTGATGCGGGCTTGGGGAACGGATCGACAATGGCCATGCCGTTTGTCCATATTGAGGCATATTGTCCGCTCGCGCGACCACAGGAATGTCAATGTGCAATGGTAGGCAATGGTTCTGTGTGTGTTGTGACAATGTGTGCGCGTGTGTGACAGTGTATTGTTGTCGCAACCTTCTGCAACGGTCATGTCGGGTGGCACTCAAAGCACGCAGCAGAGCTATTACTACGTTATTCGTGGCATCTCCAGCTCGGTACTCAAAGTACGCTGCCCGAAAGAGGCGGACGCTCAGGACCTTTTGCAAGAGATCCTGAACACGAACGACAAGCTGAAGCCATGGCAACGCAGATTCGGCGACTTATGGGTTTATAAGGTAAGACGTCATATTAGGAACCTGGCCTTTGCCTACAGCACGCTCATGTTCGTGAACAGGTTGTGACTCCAGTTCCTCATGGCCTGCAGAGTGTTGAGGAGATAGAACGTCATCTCACTCCGGAGACACTCACTAGGTCGATGGGGCCAGATGAACTTGGCCTGCCCGACGCCGAGAGTGCGGTGGACTTCGTTATAGTTCCCCGTGAGGCCAAGAAGGATGAGGATAAGGAGCCAGACTCTCTTGAAGAACTTCCTCGATTTCGTGAGCTTGCTCATCCCTCTTCCTTCGGTGTAGAAGCTCACTTGACCTTCAGGACTCCGAAAAACTCTGAGAAGAGGCGAAATCAGAAAAGCACCCAGCGAGGGCTCCAAATCACTCTCGTACAAAAATGACCAGGGCAATCCTCATATTCTCGACGGACGCTGTGACGTTGGCCGCCCTAACGACAGCAAGGTTGGCCCTCCTATAGAGATCTTCCACGGTTGCTTTGACCAGTTCAGACGTGATATCCAAAATCTTAAAGTCCCTCCTGAAAAACTAGTCGCTGTGGTCGAGTTCATACACCTCTCGTCGGCTATCTATTCGCTCGAAAGCCAACGTTACCAAAACATTCATGATGGTTTCTACGCGGTCACTGGCCTCCGGTTGTTGACCATTAGGAACGAGGACAAGACCTACCTAGACGGAATTCGTATCTCAATAGCGCAAAGTCAAAGCGGAGAGGTCCACTTTATCTTGATCGTGCGAGAAGATGAAAATGAGATAGGGACAGGAAGTTCAGCACCGGATGTGCAAGCAGCATTATTCTATTTGCGATCGTGGAGTCAGTCTGGGGTATGAACCGCTTTGACTTGCTTCGTCTTGATGTGATACTGACCCATCTCAGAATGCGCCCTTTGTCAACTTGAGCTGCTGTCCTTGTTTTATTTTGGCTGTTAATGGACCTTATTTGATGGTGCTTGGCGCTATTATCGCTCAGGCGGTGACTGTTCAGCCGTTAACAGCCGTTATTTTAATGTCATATCTCTGCGCGGTTAATCTGCTTGCTCTGTGTTGCAAATAACGAAGGACCAACGATTTTTTGTTTTGTGATCGGAGAAAAGGGAAGAAGGACATCAGCAAGCATCAGGATTACCGTCCACACTCCTTATACCAGTCTTTTACTACTTTAGTTGCGAATCCAATAATGGCTACGCCTCATCACGGTATCGTTATTAGAATCTACAGAGACAGTGAATGGTAAGCAAGCAAAAGACAACCTGGAAGCAACACTAATCATCATGGTCGTCGCTGTCAAAGCCGTACTTGAACGCAAACACTTCCATCATAAACTGCGCCGCATAGACACTCGTGCTCGCCAGAGCGATCCAGAGCTGCTAAAGGATCGACCTCCCTCCCAAGCCAATTTCCATCTATGAGCGGGTCCGGAGGGCATTGATGCGGCCTGGGTAGCGGATCAGCGAACACAGAAGGACGGCCATGCCGTTTGTCCATCATATCGAGGACACGCATTGGATCGTGAGGCTTGATGTGGCCCAACGCGTCGTCGAGAGCGTTGACCTCCGCTCGCGTTATGCCCATGGCTGTTTGGAACGCGGGATGATGAGTCAGGTCAAGAGTGCGAGGGAGATCGAGAGGTTGGCGGCTGCATGGTTCCTCGTTGATGGGGGTTAATGCATGTCGGCCCATACATGTGTGCACCGTGCCATCATCCAAACTGGAGAGAAGGAGCAAGGAACCTATAACGTGAGCCTTGACTTCCTCTTCCAATCGATTTAAGATGGGGTTCAGAATGGCGCGACCGTCGGGATGATTGAATGCTGGTCTATCGAAATTCCTGATGATGACCAGCAGTGGGTGGTATGCGATATGATGAAGCGAATGCTGCAAATGTGGAGATCAGGGGACAAAATAAAACAAGAACAAAGGTAGCATACCGCGAGTAACGAAATGTATTCGTCTGATTCCTCCGAAATCTCATCCACCGTTGGTAAACTGGTGCGCTTGTTGAGACCGTAATGAGCTATCAAGTTTCGACACTCTTTCCCAAGATATGCGTGAAGTTCCATGCGGAGGTCGCCCTTGACCGGAAGGAGTTTAAAATCCAGGTCCAACACAAAGAAACCATGGAGGCGGTGGTTCCATGGCTCCGAAGTCAACGAGTCTTTTCCCAGTAAGACTTTTGAACGGGTCTAGTTGCGGATCGTAGTCTTTGTCGAATGCGGCTGAGACCATAGACGCGAATAGGTCAAGGCCCCAGCCTGGTTGGCGACGCAGCGATAGGGCGTGATGAGAATCGAGTAAACGAGCGAGTTGCGCAAGAGTGTGGCGCTTGAAAACGAGTGGGACACCAGTCACGGTCGCATTCACAATATCATCGAATTCTTCTTCTGGGAGAGGCAGTCGCTGGCCGAGAGGTAAGTAGGTTGAATGCTTGTTCACTAAGATATGAAGACGCACTTCGATGGTCCCTCCCTTGCAAAAAAAATCGGCCCGTGGATGTTGGTGAGACGGTAAGATTTAGAATGAGATATGCTGGCTGTCATTCAGCGAGTTCAGGTTGACGCTGTACAACTTGTCCTCGTCCAAGTTCACCGTATGGCATTTGATGGCAAAAGTGGTGGCAGGCCACCCGGTTGATAGTTCAGAGCTCTTCGATAAGCCTGATGATGAAGCCATAACAGTGTGGAGGAGCGGTCCAAGTTCCGACTCGAACCAGTCGCTATGAAAGTGTGACTTTGATAGCTCGTGCTTGCCCATCAACAACCGTTGGGAGCTGGCCTAAGCGAGACCGTCGCTTGATCTGGTGATGGGACATGAGACATGGGACATGTCGCATGTACCCGACCACAGCTCTTGCATTTTCCTCATGGTCACAGTAACCCCCGTGACTGTGACTCTTCCCTAACTCGGAGATTCTACAACGTGACCGCGCCTCCCGCCCTCACGGAATAGCTGCGAGTGCGCGACAAAGCACGTTTAAGCACAATATGTATTATTTGGAGGGAAACAATGAATATGTTATATCCTCACGTGCATTTTGCGTCCATTGCCCTCTCTTTTGCTCCATTCTCTCCCTACCAGCCTCAATTCCTCGCTGTTTCCCTCTGCATATCAATGTTCTCTACTGGGAGATTTCGTCTCCCAGCTGCATCATCCTTCCCTGTCCATGAGACAGCCCAGCCGCAATCATTGCCACCGCCAGCCCTCGTCCCACCTCACCAAACGTTCACATTCTCTGTGAAACCGCCAATCACCAGCCGCCCAACTGTCCCAGCACCTTCCAAGCCCGTGCCACGCACTCTCAGTCCCCCTCCGCAGCCCTGCCTCCTGCTAGAAGTCTCCCGCGCTCTGGCTTCGAGGTTGATCGCGCGAATGGCTATAGCTTGGAGTTTGAATCCATGTCGCATTTTGAGACGTGGCTCTCCGATATGCGAAAGACCAGGGCCGTTGAGTTTCGTCGTCGGACAAACGAGCAATCTACACAGCCGCCCGAGACCCAAACCTGGTTAACGCGTGCCACCTATCGCTGTGACGACGTGCCGAGACCCACCCATAGAATGGAGACACGCAGTGCAAAGCGGCATAAAGGCGGACCAAACAGGTCGCTGAGTACTTATCTCTCGTTGATCCTCGTGCGGTGCCACCGAATTCTTTGCACATTGTAACTGCCATATATCATAGTCTATAGACTGTATTTTTTTGTTATATATCCATTATTTAAGTGACTTAAAAGCGGGATGGCGGGCAAGTCATCTGATAAAATTACTGTTTGAGGAAGTGTCACAGTGACAGTGACTATTTGTGACCATGAGGAAAAGTGGACATCTCCCGACCACCTGTCCCTGGGGGGAGGTGCAATGTTTGCACAGGGCTGTTGGACCGGTTTACCCAGGGCACATATGTACTGCTCCCAGGGGAGAATGATGCAAATGACCGGGCACTGCAGCTGTACCCCCCTGGGGGCATATAATATTACTCATGTCGACCTTAATACAAAACCCAAGCACTTGGATAATATACCTCTGGGAGATGCACTGCTTCCCTGGGGGGGGGGCATGGAAGCTCCCCCAGGCATAGGTAGATGTACCGGGGGTAAGCACATCAATTGCCCCCGGGGACATCCTTCAGTTCCACATCATGATATCTATTAAGTACCCGAGGTGATGATGTCAATTTCCCACAGGTTCTTTTACATGCCTGATTGGGATATTTCTGATCTCTCCCCCTGTGACCTTTGTTTGTTGTCCCTAAAAGCTTATTGACGCCAACTCTATGCGAGTATGTTGTGACTCCATCAAAATACTTGACCATGTTTGCACATAACCTCCCCCCGTCGCCCTTGTCTATTCCTCTCCAAACAGCTGCAATGGGTTCAGCCTCGTCATTCTCAATGACTGAGGCTGGCAAAATCTGTGCTGTCTGCCGAAAGGGGACCATAATGTTTACCAAATTTGCTTCTGGAACTCATAACTTGGAGAATGCAGGTCGAGGATTTTACAAGGTCTAACTTCAAGCTTCTTTTGTTCTAGTAATAACTATCAGACAGTGTTCCCGAGCATATAACACACAGTCCTCTGCAACTTGGATCACGGAAGAAGCACGCGCTGGCAGATGTACCCACTTTGCATTTCTTGGATCAAATGAGGTGCCTTCTTTACCAGTATGTGGCTTCCTTCTCACACAAATTATGCTTACTATGGTTACAAAGGTTAAAAAACAACCCTGTCCTGGAACTACATGTGGTGGGAAAGGATTTCGCAACTCTGCATGTGAGCATTGGATATGCAAAGAATGCTGTTTGCGGCGAGGATTGGAGGATGTAACTCACGTTTGCAGCCAAGCCAGCCACCGCTCACCTGTTATTCCACTCACTCCCACACGCCCACATTCAATTCCATCGCCAGCTCCTTGGCCATTTACCGTCTCAACTCCCACTCCGGCTTCTCAGCAGTCCTCTCAGAGCACCCCCAACCAATTCAAAGTGCACAGTCTCAACATATCCTCATACTACTCTCCCGACCTTCCCCTAATTTTATCCAGAATTCTATTAATAATGTCGCTACTCCGATATCATCATATGCTTCGCGACAAAAGCTTGAGCGGGCTGCCTCACGTATTATTCATGTGGACTGGTATATGGTACGTTCCTATATAACTTGAATTCTTGCTCTTATTGAATATACTCTAGACTGTAGATGCTACACCAGTGCCGCTCCAGGCTGCTGCACCTGATGTTCGGTTCTTTGAACCTCTGAAGTCTGATGCAATTCAAACTGCCTTGAAATTCTCTTCATCTCAATCAATCACAGAGGTTAAAACCTTTGCAATTTTTGAGAATGGGCGATGGTCGCTCCAGGAGACGCCTATAAATGGATTGACTCCTGGGGTACGGATTGCGCTCGGACCACCATCATTAATATTTGATGCTGTCTCGCGTCAAATCCCTTTGTCTTCTAAACGCAAGATAGAACAACCATCATCACCTGAAGGCTCACCACAAAAATGTATTCGGTATGAGTTATTCTGTCAAATTTCAATTTTAAACTGAACTATTCTATAGAAGTGATACTGTGCGCCCAGCTACCTTAGAACAAGATGTTGCAGAGTGGGCTCCTATGTACGTTAATAAAGTTGGATCAAGTTTCTCTCATTCTTGATCAATTTTAGGCCTACTTCAGCTCGGAACACTCAAACTAAGGATGATGACCCAGTGTCTGACTCGGAGAATGATGAAAATACTTCATCTGCCCCTAATAGCTGCCCATTTCCACCCTTGGATAAGCTAGATGCTTTTCGACGATTTGAGGAATTCGAACGTCTCTATAATGAGGCGGGTGAGCAGGCTCGGGTTTTAATATGTGCAGAAGTGGCGTTTGGACATACTATTCAACGCCGAACTTGGAACCGGAACTATAACCAATGGCTGGCGGATAATGATCGCAACTCTGTGGTTAAAAATCGCAAAACACCAAAAAAAGACTGAACGTTTTTGACTGCTTTGTCATTTTATATTGGCATACTAGATTAGATTAGATTAAACTTCGTAATGAATCATCTTTACATTTGAGCATACACTCACTTTCTACACGTGCCAGTCACGTTGGCACATGCGGTTTTCCTTCTCCGACGAAGGGCTTGAGCAGCTAACGTTCAAGCAGCTCAAGGTTCTCCATGCTGCGGCACACTATAAAGACAAAACTTCGCGACTCCCTCCACTCAAGAACTATCTACAGGATGAGTCTGGGCTCCGTGAACTTCTCAAGCGGTGCAATTTTGAGGCGCGACAAAATTATGTGATGGGAGCGGAGGAGCTACCACTTGCTGACCAGCATGAACGACTCCTATGGGAGTTTTCTCATGCTCTGACTCCTGTGGTACGCATGTAAAGCAAAGAGGGGAATGAACGGAATAACCGACCTGCAGACTACCGAAAATACCGAGAAACAGTCTCGCAAAACGGGCGGCAGAGGGCAATAGCAAGGACAATAGTCATCAAGGTCTATAAATGTTTCAGCCTCTTTTCATTCTGACCAGAACGTTTAGATAAAAGGCCAACCAAAAAATCGAAACCGGACAAAAACGGTGAACCGGAGACAACGTCTGGTGCGTTTTGGTTTATATTTGTTTGGTTCCTAAGTAGATTGCAGTGGCACTTGAGATTGGAATTTACCTCAGGGATGCTGAAACCAAATATCAACCGATTGTCCCTCACGTTCACTATGCCCATGTTCAAGTTTCCTTACCTCTCAAGAACCATATCACGATTTCAATTGAGGATGTTATACACTACATTAGTGATTTCGAGCGTAACTGCAGTGATCTGTTCGATGGTGCGTTGACAATCTTTGTGCTGTTTCAATGTTAATAATAACTGCATACAGAAAATCCTCAGCAGCTTACCTTGTCGGTATATCCAACAGATGTCAACTATTCTCAACTTGCCCTTCCACGATTTTTAACCATTCTCCCCGCCATGCAACGGTGTTCACCTGCTTGTGCCGAACGCCCAAAGGACTGTCTTAAAAAGTTGGAGCAGGTTCAACCATTGGATCTTGAAGATGATGAT